TGTGTGACGAGGAAATTATACAGATATTAGGTTCTGACAGGTCGACAACTCATCTATCTTAATTGAAGGTAAACGATGAGTACGGAGTACTGCAGATGTTAAATTAAAGTTAGCGGAAATAAGCAAAAACAGAGTGATCCTGCCATTCAACTATAATGGTTTGTTACTAACTTCGCTCGTTGACTCAGCCTTGAGGCTGAGCTGACGGCCAGTTGTCCCTTCCTTTTCCTTTTACTTCGCCCCTGCTTCAGTTAATCATCGATAATAAAGCTTTTGATAGTGTCTCATTACGGTGTCAAGTTGCGGTGAATAATAGGCCAGCTTAGTATATTAAGGTGAGCGAGAGAGTGACAGAATTCCATCTACTTTTCTATAAAATCTGCAACGATTGACCTCTTGTCTTATAACCTCATTCTGATCATCAAAAACATTGACTAGCCCTCAGAAATGTTGCTTGACCGGCTATACTGGGGCTTTGCGACTCTGTTCCTGTTACATTTTCTTACGCTGGCGGACGCGGCTTCACACAGCGCGAAAGACTGTCGGATCCCACGGCTGATTGAAGCAACGGCGGAGCAACTTCAACATGGTATCACGAAAAAGTGCTTCAATAGTGTTGATTTGGTCAAGGTTTGTGGCTCTCCTTTCCCGATTCAGTATTGTAATGCATGCGGTGTGTCTGTAGAGATACTGACGGTTACAGGCGCATATTGCTCGAATTAGTGAGATTGATGTGCAATTTGGCACGGTTCTCGAGTTGAACCCCGATGCGCTGAGTATAGCAAAACAGCTCGACCGCGAGAGGGATCAGGGGTATATCCGAGGGTAAGTTGCTCCATCTATGCTACTGGGTGGGTGGCTAATTGACTGTTGTAGTCCGTTGCATGGCCTGCCAGTCTTGCTCAAAGACATGATCGGCACGAAAGATAAAATGCAAACAGCAGGTACTTCCCTTAATCCTAATCAGGCCCATGCATTGGCTGACAATCTTCTAGCTGGCTCCTGGGCACTTGTTGGAGCTAAGGTTCCTGCTGATTCAACTGTGGCGGCGAAGCTCAGGGATAGTGGCCTGGTTATATTGGGCAAGACTAGCATGTCAGAATGGGCCAATTTTCGTTCGGTAAACTCGTCAAACGGTTGGAATGCGCGACGTGGCTATACGCTTGGAGCATACTATCCTGACCAGGACCCAAATGGAAGTTCGAGTGGTAGTGCTGTTGCGACTGATCTGGGGCTCACTATGTTTGCCCTGGGAACTGAGGTACGTCGAATATTGCCCTGCTTTTGATTGAAATAGGTATTGACTGTGGGAGAACCAGACCAGTGGGAGTATACTGCTTCCAAGCGAAAGAAACAACATTGTCGGGATCAAGCCAACAGTTGGACTTACCTCACGCTATATGGTCATTCCTCTTAGCGAGCGCCAGGACACCATTGGACCCTTGGCTCGGACAGTCAAAGACGCAGCCATGTTGTTGCAAGCCATTTCTGGTCCAGATGACAAGGATAATTATACCTCGGCTTCACCATTTGCAGCAAAGTTGCCCGACTACTTGGCAGCTTGCAAGCCTTCGGGGCTACAAGGCAAGCGAATTGGCATCCCTCGAAATGTCATTGAATACTTGGGTCCCGCAGGTGCTCCGATAGTTGCGGCATTCGAAAAAGCAGTCATCGTAATAAGCGCTGCAGGCGCTACCGTTGTGGATAATGCGAACTTCACAGCGTACAGTGACTTTTATGGCAGCCTGAAACCGGCCATGGTTGTGGCTGCTGACTTTTCGACGAACATCAAGGATTATCTGGGAGAATTGGAGCGGAACCCGAATAATATTCATAGCCTTGAGGATATTAGGAAGTTCACCCAGCATAACGCATTCGAGGGTTACCCGTCACGCGACACGGAGGTGTGGGATCAAACGATCGCCTTGGGCATAGACAACACATCTCCGGGCTTTTGGTCCCTGTATAAAGAGACTCTTTATTTCGGAGGGGAAGGTGGGCTATTAGGGGCTCTTTCTCGTGATAACCTCGACGCTGTCATTCTGCCTACTCTTGTAGGATTCGATATCCCCGCTGTTGTTGGTACCCCAGGTATCACTGTTCCCCTGGGAGCATATCCAGATGGCACACCAGTTGAATACAACACCCGCGGCGACCTGATCCAGCGTGCTCCCGGTGTTCCTTTTGGCATCAGCTTCTTGGGACAGAAATGGAGTGAAGAAAAGCTGATAGGGATGGCATATGTATTTGAGCAGCAGACACTCGTCCGTAATAAGCTCAAGCGACACTTAAAAGTGGATAGTTAGGTAGAATGTGTGTCATAGTCTCTGTGGATGTGTAGGGTAGAGTACCTCCATCCGGTTTTGGTGTTTGTATTCATCATTATATAGTCGTAATAAAGTGAAACCTTTCGGTTTTGTTAATGTGGAAGATGCAGTAGACTATCAGGCGGCACCTGTTCTACTAGCCTTACAATTCAGGTGTCAACAGGATGGCCAGAAAAGGTTTAGCCCCAGATAGCCCGATAAGATGGATGGAGAAAGTCTTCCGAGCGGGGTGCGCCTCCGTCAGGCATGCCGGAGCATACCTCAGACAGGGATTGTGGTTTCGAGATTCATAGACAATTTCTCTGTCCATGAACGGGCTCGAACAAACGTGCGCATCTTTGCGCACGCAGATTGCTGCTACTGAAGCCAAACTTGCCGACCTGAAGCGTGAGCTCGAAATTGCAGAACAGGCTGCCGCGAGCCACAACCAGAATGCAGCGGATGCTGAAGGAGGATCTGAGAGGAGATGGCCTCTCCTAGACGAAGAGTATAGACGCTATGGAAGGCAGATGATTGTGCCGCAGCTAGGGATACAAGGTTAGTAAAATACGTCTAGATTTGGGAGATCTAGGATTGCTGATGTTGCGTTCGCAACTCAGGGCAGCTGAAACTCCGGTCGGCGAAAGTGTTGATTGTAGGAGCTGGTGGATTGGGATGCCCGGCAGCTTTGTATCTTGCGGGAGCTGGCGTTGGTACTCTGGGACTTGTGGATGGAGATGCCGTGGAGTCTTCGAACCTTCACCGTCAGGTATTACATCGGACCAGGAATATTGGGAAGCTCAAGGTGGACAGTGCTATTGAGTACTTGAAGGAGTGAGTCAATACCTGTTCTTGGTATTCATGTATCACTCCTGCAGTATGCTGACTTTGGACTGCTAATTTTAGGCTGAACCCTCACTCCAAGTACATCGCTCACAGGGAGCATCTAGCGCCTGAAGCTGCCCCAGAGATCTTCAGCAACTACGACCTGATTCTCGATTGCACGGACAACCCTGCGACTCGATATCTCATCTCGGATACTGCGGTGCTCCTGGGTAAACCACTGGTGTCGGCCTCTGCACTTCGCACAGAAGGTCAACTAATGGTATTGAACAACCCTCCCCGACCTGCGGGCGACAAGACCGGAGGTCCTTGCTACCGCTGTGTGTTTCCGAAGCCGCCCCCGGCGAATACTGTCACAAGCTGCGCGGATGGGGGTATCGTGGGCCCCGTGGTGGGAACAATGGGCGTTCTGCAGGCTCTAGAAGCGATCAAGGTCATTACTGCGGATGAAACAACTACACCCCCACCGCCATCATTGCATATCTTTTCCGCATATTCTACACCTCTCTTCCGCACGATCAAACTTCGCTCTCGTCGGCCAAATTGCGCGGTGTGCTCTGCCGAGGCCAGCGTCACGGTGGATACTGTCCGCTCTGGCTCTACCGACTACATCTTCTTCTGTGGGACCACAGGTCCAGAGAACTTGCTCTCTCCCGAAGAGCGTATCACGCCGCTCGAGTATCGCACAAGGCATCATGACAAGGAGGAAAAGGAACCGACGATCATCGACGTCAGAGAGAAGGTCCAGTACGACATTTGCAGTCTGGAGAATAGCGTCAATATCCCGATATCCACGATCCTGGCTTCTGCGTCGAGTTCTATGAGTAACGGTGACTCGTTGGCTGATGGTGTGCCCGCGTTGCCTTCATGGGTGCCGCCGGACGTGGCGTCATCGCAGTCTACCGATCCCGTATATGTGGTGTGTCGACTGGGCAATGACTCCCAAGTAGCTGTTAAGAAACTGAAAGAGCTGGGATTGGATCAAGGAGGGAAGAGGGTCGTGGCTGATATTCGGGGAGGATTTCGTGCCTGGAAAGAGCAGGTTGATCCTGAGTGGCCTGAGTACTAGAGTTCATAGAATAGATAATCGTACTGTATGTAAATAGTTGTCAATGGATATGGCATATGACGCATTGTTGCAGTATCGCTATCAGATAGATCCTACTACCAAGATTTTTGAAATCATATACACGCGATAAATCAGGGGAACGGCAACTGGCAAAAAGGAGCAAAAAGAATGGATTTAAAAAACAAATCCCCTCGAAGGGATTCGTACCCACAATGCTATTGAAGATTGTGGAGACAAACAGTCGTGATGAGCCACCGCTCGACTATCGGGAGGCTAACATAAAAGAACGACTTTCGATAGTGCTTCTTGTTTCGACTAATTCTTGAGCTAGGATTGGAGTAGGAGTTCCTTCCAGGTCACCTGTCTCGACTGTCATGATCTCTGCTTTCCACACGAAGATTGAAGCTCACACTGGGTCTCTCTTAGCTCAAGAAAAAGCACTCACCTTCTCTCTTATCTTCTGCGCCCTTTTCCAGTGGAGTAGGCCAGTTCACCTCCCCATTTATTTGTCTGTCAAACACCAGACGTGACTGTTGATCAACTCCTCAACAGTTCAACTACTTCCAGCATAATGATGTCGATTCCTGCATGGCAGTGGGTCCATCCACCAAGCATCTGGGCAGTTCCAGTCATTCCAGCCAAATCCAGGCACCACGCGGCATCTCCGTTTAGTCTGGAGCCGTCTAGTTACCGAGATCCGAGCCTTGAATCTCACTTAAAGCTAGAAGAGCTGCTCTCATCCTCGCTACACTCTACATCCTCTGGAAAAGTGACCCATTCAACAACGAGCACACTTAGCTTATCGGTAAACAGAATGCAGCAAATCACCGACTCGGTGTAAAAACTGGTTGTGCTCTTGGCAGACGGCCCAAGGATCCACTTGGGAAAGTCGGCGGCCGATCGCCACTATTTCGACTGTCGCGAAGTTTAAACTTCTCCCTCTCTTGACTCTTTTCTTCCTTTGCCGAAGCAAGAGCGAAGCGAAAATCCCCCGCTGCCACACAAATCGTTGCCGGAGATATTCCAGCTTACGCAACTATCTGCTTCCTCCCCCTCGCCCAGTCCAATAGGCGTTCAACCTGCACTCTGCGAGAGTTTAGCCGAGTTGCATTTGGCGTCGCCGATCGGATCACGTGGTCTGGGGAAGTGAGGCCGTGGATGAGGGGCCGGCTCGAGCCCCGGATTTTTGGATCGATCCTATCTGACATTAAGGGGTGAGATCGAGCGAGAGGAACTTTGTCGTGGGTAGGTGTACATTTCACGATGGCAGCTCAGGTCGACTCGGACCAGTCTTCCTCTCGGGTCTTACCCGGCGAAGATGATGGACGACGGAACCGCGAATGGAAGCTCTTCAGCAAGCTGAAAAGGGCTTGGAAGAGCTTGGAACTGGATATGCCGACTCTGCTTCTCATGATGAAGTATGTTCTGTGTCTCTCAATTGTTGAGCTCGTATTGATTGATTTCGCAGGGGTGCCCTTGCACCAACAATTTGTGTAGCTATGTGAGCCCAGCCACAAACCTGTGCTTTCTATTCCAGACTAACAAACAAAATAAAGCTACCAAGCGGATGCTGTGGCATCGCTATTCAATACTGTCGGATATTTAGTGGCCATCATTTCCGTCTTGGGGTTCTCAATCATGCCTCGGGCCAAGTTCATTCAGATGATGGTCCTCGACGTGTTAGCTGTCTGTGTTGCATCCGCTGTTGCTCTACTCATGATGTACTCGTGCGTCAAGGCACGAGAACACTCCGAGTCTGCCTCTGCCGCCGCCGACGGAAGCACAGCATACAACTCGTCTGCTGCTGCCGTCAGTGGTGTTTGGTTGTTCTTTGAGATCTACCTGGTTCACACTTTTCGAGCCAAGTTTCAGCAGTTTCAGTTCCCTGTGATTATCTATTCGATCGTTGCCAATGTTGCATTTGTGTATGCTTCTAGGCTTGGGACCATGGCTGCTGCGATTGCGCTCGTCAAGAAATTGCTCGAAGCATGTCTGACCGGATTAGGTGTGGCAACGGGTGTCTCATTGTTCATACTTCCAAAGAGTACTAGAGGCATAGTCTTTAAGCAGATGGCAGGCTACATCGGCGCTCTGCGTGCTGCCCTCAATGCGCACACAGCCTATTTTGAGACGTTGGAAAAGGACGACATGTTCGGAAGGGCAGAGACGTACGATTCGACTGTAGAGAAGGTCACCGATAAGGGCAAGGTGTATAGCCCGGAGGCGCAGGCTATCCGTACAGCCTGTCAGAAAGTCACAGACCTTCATGCAAAAATCCATGGGGATCTGACATTCGCAAAGCGCGAAGTTGCAATTGGGAAGCTTGGGCCAGACGATCTCCAAGCCATCTTCCGACACCTGCGCCAGACCATGATACCCGTAGTCGGGTTAAGCTTTGTTGTTGACATATTCCAGCGCCTATCTGACTACAATAAATGGAACCAGCCCATCGACATGACCGAAACAGAGATCCCTGACCAGGTACGCCAGAGGGTCAGACAGGAGTGGAACGAGATCATGAGAGCAGTTCATGATCCTTTCAGCTCAATGATCCATACCATTGATGAGGGTCTACATCATGTTTCTCTTCAGCTTGAGCTAACCAAGCCACCAAAACCATCGAATGCGGGCAAAGAGTCGGAAGATGTCGAGGCAACAGCTAGTCCGAAACCGGGCGAGAAAGGCTTCGGCGAGTATTACGAGAAAAAGCTTCGCAACTTCAAGTACGCCAAGCGGGTTGCCTTGCGAACTTGGAGCGAAGAGAAGGGAATCATCCTGCCACCTGACTTTTTCGAGCACCCATCATCTGTACATTTGGATGTAGACGATATTCCTGATGATAAGTTTGGAGTCGGCCGAGACAGGAGCCGACGGCAGCTATACTTGATTCTCTATGTAAGCTTGTTCTCATACTTCATGTCGACTGATGCTGACTGTATCATAGGTGGAGCAGCTGCTCGAATCAACTGGCCATGTTGTCTATGATTTCATCCAGTTTGCGGACGAGAAGGTCGCAAGTGGGAAGCTCGCACGGAAGCGCCTCGTAATTCCTGGTTCAAAGCGTTTGCTGAAATGGCTTATTAGCGCTTTTAAGGCGGAGGATTCACATGAGGATGACAACTTAGGTGGCGACATCAACTCACAGAACAATATTCTTCAGTTGGGCGAGGCTTATAAGCACCGAAAGGATCCGGAACACCTGCCACCGGAGAATATGTTGCAGAAAATCGGTGACAAGATTCGCCTCATACCCACAGCATTGCGTTCGCCCGAATCGGCCTATGGCTTCCGAGTTGCATGTGCCACGATGACCGTCGCCGTGGTTTCTTTCCTTCATGACACGCAGGACTTCTTCGTCAAGCAGAGATTCGTTTGGGCCATGATCATGGTCAACCTCAGTATGTCGCCCACATCCGGGCAAAGCATATTCGGCTTCGTTCTCCGTCTCCTCGGTACGGTCCTGGCCATGGTGCTCAGTCTTTTGGCATGGTATATCCCGGGGCAGAAGACCCCTGGAATTATCGTATTTTTCTTCATCTTCTTGACGTGCGTTTTCTACGTACCGATCAAGATTTTCCGCTTCCGTATAATTGGAATCATCACCATCATCTCTACCTCGATGATCGTGGGGTATGAGCTCGAGGTGCGTAAGATTGGAGAGCAGGTGGCCGCTTCCAATGGACAGCAGTACTATCCCATCTACCTCCTGGGCCCGTACCGACTGGCCACTGTGAGCGCTGGTATAGCCGTGGCCTTTATCTGGACATTCTTCCCCTATCCGATCTCGGAACACTCTGTCCTACGCCAGAGTTTGGGAGCCTCCTTGTACCTCCTAGCCAATTACTACTCCGTTATCCACGAGACCGTGTCTGCGCGCATGCGTGGCGATGAGGGTGATCTGGCACTGAAGACATCATCGGGTCGCCGGCTCCTGAAGGCGCGTAATAAGGTGTTCTCAAAGCAAATGCTAATGCTGAACAACCTCCGCACGTATGCCGGCTTTCTGAACTGGGAAGTCGCCATCGGCGGTCGGTTTCCCAAAAAACGGTACAATAGTATCATAACTTGCATTGAGAAGTGCGTATCCCACACCATCCACTATCCCCTCACTGCACATCGTGAAAGCCCAAATACTAACTACCACCAGCATCGTAAGCTACCTCAGTCTTCTAGGCTACGCCTCCGACACCCTCCTCCAACTCGACGGCGATGACGAGTCCGACTCCGCCTGGCTCCACGACTTCAAGAGACTAGTCGCCAGCGCCCGCGTCACAACCCACGAGATCACTACCTTACTATGTCTTTTATCCGCAAGCATAACAAATCGTCAACCGCTGCCTCCGTATCTAAAAGCACCTCGTCCATATGGTTTCTCCAAGCGTCTGGAGGCACTAGACAAAGACATTCTGAGTCTGCGACACATCGCGGAGCCAGGATTCGCTACGTTTTCCGTGCTGCAGATCTCGACACGCTGCATCGTGGGTGATGTGGAGAGATTGATGAGGTGAGTGGGCTTGTCTATTATCATTTGTTGGGATGAGACCGCTAACGAGCGTTATTCGTATGATATAGGGACGTCAAAGCCCTAGTAGGCGAGCTGGACTTCTCGTTCCATGCTATAAGCACAGCGCATAGTGCTAAGTCTTCGGCGGAGGTATCCCGGCTTTCGAGACCGCCGTCACGCGATAAGATGGATTAATTGATTGATTGATTGACGAGGCATGAGTGATTAATTAATTAATTAATTGTATATACCCGATAGATGTTTTGGTGTTGTTGCCATATTGTTAAGGAATATCGATGGCATTCGTACTAATTGATAGTATATACAAACTGGCATACTTGAAGCGAACCAGAGGAAATTGTGCACCATATCTCGAATATAGGAATCCAAACAAACATTATACTTAATCGGACACAAGATTCATGAGTAGATATAACCCCCCTTTCCATAATGGCGTGCGTAAAACCACTACTAATAACCGATAACCCCGCATCTCCTCATCATCCCCTCTCCTGCCTCATCACACCATTTACTTACTCTATAACTACTGTAATCATACTTACTCAACCCAGCCCAACCACACCTCCAAGTAACAACTATACAATGACCCAACCCAAAACAATCCTCATAACCGGCGCCGCCGGGGGCATTGGCCTCGCCACATCCCGGCATTTCAACACCCTCCACCCCTCCAGTACCATAATCCTCACTGATCTGCCCACTCACCAAGAGGCCACTGAGTCCTTGATTCAGAGTACATTCCCGCACCCGGAAAAGGCAGTCTTTCTCCCCGCTAACATCCTGGACTGGAGCCGAATGACACATCTATTCAGAACGATTGCACAGAAATACGGCGGCGTGGATGTGGTGGTTGCGAATGCGGGGATGATGGAGTCTACGCCTGTTCTAGATTTGGATGATGTTGATGAGGAGACGGGGGAGTTGAGGGAGAGTTTGGAGGCAAGGAGGGTGGTGGATGTTAATCTGATGGGGACTTTGAATAGTATGAATGCCTTTCTTTTCTTCTTTTGTGCTCTAGGGTGTGAGGTGCTAATGGGGTGAAGCCCTGCGATTGGCGATGTATCACATGAAAGAGAAGGAGAAGAAGAACGGATCAATTGTGCTGTTGGCTTCTACGTCGGGTTATTTTGGAGGCACGGGTGTCACAGCTTATGTGGCTTCCAAGCATGGTGTTGTGGGATTGCTTCGGGCGTCGCAAGTGACGGCGCAGAAGTATGGCATCCGTGTTAATGCCGTTGCACCATTCATGACCCCAACTAGAATGACGGCTGGTTTGTCTCAAAGCTGGCAGGATGCTGGGCTCGAGGCGAACACTCCTGAACGGGTGGCGGAGGTTATTGAGCAGGTCGGGATGGATACGGCCCGGAGGGGCTCTTGTATGCTGGTGAGTGCACCGAATAGCAGGAGTGATTGTGATGTACAGTCGCACTAAGGGGTTTATGTGCTAGGTTGCTGGAAGATTTCTCAGGGAGATGGAGTCGACGAGGATGGCATTGCTCCCGTCATGGCTAGGTCAAGATGTTGCGGATTTCATGGCGAAAGCAATGAAATTCATTGCAGACATCGGAGGCTATGTGCTTCCTGCTCGACTATAGAGAGATTGGTTACATGCATTCACGTGAAGGAAGTGTTTTTCTGGGATGGCATGGAGCCACTCTTTTACAGCGCTCATTAGATCACTGCTCCGGGGTTAAGTCACCGAGGCCAGAGCCCACATACCAGTCATTGCGCGGCAGACCCTTTGCCCCAGTGGCCAGAGTTGGACATTGGGCTTCCAGGACGGAAGGAATGTAAGGACCACCAATCAGGCAGCTCGTGTATCATAGTTGTGCAGAGCCAATCGTCATAGCTGCCCAGTAACCAGCTCTCATCTCCATATCCATGTTTGGTGCCTGTATCTCCCCAGGAACATGTGCCTCTACCACGCGGTCTGTGCCCTGCCCCTTGCATTTCGTACTTTCACCATCTGCCCTTTCCAAGTGCTGTAGCAGACCCCTTCCAGAACGATGATAGCCTAGTTTGAAGTCCTATTTGAGCAGCGTATTCCTCCGTGGAAAGAGTCCAGCGTGTCCGCGAGAGACCTGCGGTACTATTCCCTATGGGAGTTGAATATATTGAATTCAGCCATGCGAAGGATGGCCTGGAGTCGCAACTTTGCAACTGTGCTAGTTCTCAGAACCTGGTCGAGGTTGCTAGTGCAGAGCACCTGCGCCACAATGCCACGGCGAACCTGGCCGCGGAATGGAAACCCGGTGTTAAAGAATGGCTTGTCCTGACCTGCGTGTCTTTATTGTTGACAATGGATGCGTTCAACGCGACCGTACTGCTTCCTATGATAACAGTATGTGTGTTGAATATGTCCGTCCCCGTCTAAGCGGCTGATCACCTGATATGGATAGAATTCATTAGCCACCTCTGAACAGCCACTTGGAAGCACGCTATGGATTGAGGCATCATATATTCTGGCTAGTGCGGCAAGTCAGCCATTCTCTGCCATGCTCGCAGCCATTTTCGGGGTAGGGCCTATTGCCCTTGGAGCCGCTGTGCTCGCTACAGTGGGAACGGGGGTCTGTAGTGGTTCGATGAGCCTAGCTTGTCTAGTTCCAGGGCGGTTTGTTCAAGGCGTAGGCTGTGGAGGAGCAATCACGACCTCCCTATTGATGATAGATGAAGTCATCCCATGTCCCCACCAGGCCCGATTTACTGGTTATGCCTTGCAGGCTCGAGCGGTCGGGGCTATTGTTGGCCTTATCTTCGGTGGGGTGCTTGTCAACCATGCTGTCTGGACCTTTTAAACCAGTTTCGTCTTCTGCGCACTGGGGCTCTTGGTCATTCCGTTCGCAGTTGAGTTGCGGACCTACAAGCGTATCGCAAAGTGCAAGGTGTGCGAGCTTGATTGGCAAGGTGCCGTGTTGACCTTTATGGGAATGGGTTGCCTTCTCATAGGCATCAATTGGGGCGGGATACTATATGAGTGGAGTAACTGGCACGTACTGGTAGTTCTTGGTACTGGGGCAGCCTCGATCATCGTCTTAGTCCTGTACGAGAGTCTGTGGTCTATCCACCCGCTTTTCTCTTCGGCAGTATTCAGCGACATCGCAAGGTCTATGTTGTACCTAGGTAGCTTGCTGCACGGATTTTTGGTAAGCCATCAGCGTATGGTAATGGAGAAAACACTACTGACTTGCAATAGTTATCCTGCCATCTCGTCAACTGTGCCTTGTATCTAAGACTGGTTCAAGACTTATCGTCTGCATTCGAAGGGCTCAGCCTCCTCACCGTCGTCAGTCCAGCATTATTAGCACTTATTCTGACAGAAAAGGTGAGACTGCTGCGAGACCCGAGCGCCTTTCCCTGGATGGTCCGGATCGGATGGTTTTGCAGTGTCCTCGCGACAGGCTTCTTCATTATCCTAGACGTCAGCACTCCACCTCAAGCATGGGTTTTTATCTTGCTTGGTGGAGGCATGGGTCACTCCTTGCTTATATCCGGGTACCATCGAGGCGTCCACTATATACGCCAGCCAAGCAGAGATAATGAGCACTACCCAGCATCATGCATCCTCATGTATTCTCTTCTGCGGACGTGGGGGATGTGTATTGCTGTCCCTGTGAGCGGAGCGATCATCTTGAATCGAATGTTTAGGGAGGAGGGTGCAGAGGGAAGCATGAATTTTGATGTTCAAGCAGGCGGATCCTCTTTATCGCAGCAGGGCAGATCTCAGAAACTGATGCTTGTAGATGGGTTTCATATGCTATGGCGTGTTATGGTCGGAGCTTCTGCTTTAGGGGGCATTAGCTCGCTGTTTGTGAAATGATGTATAGCAGCGTGTGAAGCAGCATTATGAGATGATTGAATGCATTTATTCGAACAATTATTCACATACCGGCAAATATGGAGATGCGAAGACTGCCGATTGTTCGAGAGACAAGTCGTTGGGATGGCTAAACTAAACGGGAAGGAACATCTGCTTCACGACATCCACCATCCACTTCCCCTACGAGTTACTACAGGTTACTACACACAAGGAGAGAGTGGAAACCACACTAATAAATTCAAAACCAACACACGCAACTTAGTTCAGGGAATAAATCCAAAACTCAAATGAAAACATCACAAATATCACGCCAACTGAACATCATCATACTAGAAGATATGGTATCAAAAGACAAAGAATATCGCTTCAAACACCAAATCAACCAAGAGCAATACATCATAGAGATACCTCGAAAGAGGCAAGTTACATCATTCAATCACTGCTCATGCTCATCCTCGTTATCATCATCATACTGATCCTTGTTCTTCTTGGGATAAGGCGTAGGCACTCTCTTCAACGGAGCACCGAAGTCATAATCATCAATGCCCATCATTTCAACCACTTCACCCTCACTAACACAGATGTTTTGTTCTTTGTCTTGGGTCGGAGTCTGCTCGACGGCACCATCAACAACAAAAAGAGGGTGGTTATGTGAGACCTTCTGCTTTTTCTTCGGCGGCTTGTGGTCGTTGTTATTGGTCTGGGAGGCATACATAGAGGTAGTTGGCTGATTCTTGGTCTTGACGACCTTGAGCCAGTTGGAAAAGGAGACAATCTTGTCCATTTTGACTGTTATTGGTCGTAAAAAGAGGATGGTTTTGTTTGATGTGAGAGGAAGTGAAGAGTAGATAGACAGAAGCTTGCAAGAGCAAAGCAAGAGCAAGAAGGATAGCTAGAAGTGTGTTTTTTGAATGAACTTCAAGCGTAGTAAGTAACGGAGGAGGTAGTTGAAGGAGGGAAAGAGTCGATTTTGAGCTTGCAAGTAACGGGGGAGCTTTTATACTTCCCCCTGATTAAGGTTTGTGACTCCTTCTATGTTCTATAGCACGTCTACCTCATCGACGCTACTATTTTGGGCCAGTAGCAGAGTCACTGTGATTGTTTGTTCCGGTGGACGGGGGTGATTCACAGCCCCTATAGGGATACACGGAGCAGTGGTGTATACACATCGTTACGTCCGCAGAAGACAGTATTGACACACTGCCCTGGAGTTGAGGTATAGTGACATCACAAGATGTAGCGACCTTGGCTTGGTTTAGCATCATCGGTTTCTCTACTTCGCGTATAAGTATACGAGTCTTGTCGATGTCATCCTGTGAGTCAAGAGGGATGATGAAGCCGCGGGTGAAAATAAGTAGAAGAAGCCATTGCATAATAGAAATGACTATTTGAGGCCATTCCCAAGCCTAATGTTCGAAAAGTCTTTGTTGCTTGTCAAATGAGGCTAAGGAATTACAGGGTCAGATCAAAAATGATCGTTATAGCGGCTTGTATCCCGCACCATACTGTAAGCGGCAGATTATCGTGTTACATCGATGTGTTGATAAGTTGCTTTGCTACTTTGTGGCTTCAGAGAGAAAAGGGTGAAAATCCTGGACTTAGTTGAATGCAAAGAATATTCGATTCCAGGATGATGCCTCTACTAATGAAAGACTTTTTGGGAGTTTGAAGTATAGCCGGCTCGGCTATCCAGATTAGACTTTTGTTCCTATTTAGGGACATCGGGAGGGAAAGTTTGGTTCACGATCGCCATCTTATCAATTCCTTACTACATGTGAAAGGAGCATATCTACCTGAAAAATCTGTAGACAATAATGTCATTGTGTCGGCTGGTTATTCAACCAGATTAGGGTCGTGAACACTCCCCATAATTTATTATAGAAGTAGATACAAGAAAGGTAACTTCTCAAGCACGCCGCATCCCCTGATTACATCCACTGCTATCTACCATAAATGAGTCAACTCATTTACAGGTTGCCCTGACCGGCGTTAGCAACAACGCTAGAGGCAACAGAGGTGTAAGCAGAAGCAGAGGCAATGTTCTTGCCCTCGAAGTCGGAGAGGAAAGAGGTGCTGTCCTCGGAGAAAGTGCCGGAGGAGCCGAAGCCGTTGATGACACAGTCACGGCCAAGGTAGGTGGAGCAGACTTCACCGGCGGTGGTGGAGGGGACGGTGAAGGCCGCACCCTCGTAGGTCTCAAGGACGGTGTCGACGTTCTGGAAAACGTTGCCCTCGGCCAGGACGTAGCCACCCTCACCGATCTCAAAAGCGTGGCCGGAGATGTCGTAGAAGTAGTTGTTGACCTGCAACCATGATTAGTCAGGTCGGAAGCGGCCAGCAGAGAAAAGGCGACTTACACAGTGGAGGAGAGTGTTGTCCTGGACCTTGGGGCTACGGCCGGAGGTGTGGTAGATGTAGTTGCCCTTCATGGTGACCAAGTCGGCGTCACCATCGAGGTAGATGCCCCAGTAGTGGTAGCCATCGCAGGTGGCGGAGTAGTCGGAGACACCGTCAATGTAGTTGTTGGTGAGAGAGACGCGGTTGTCGGCGCTGGTTCCAAGGACGTAGTGCTGGCGACCGATGCGGGCGGTCTGTCATATGTTAACTCAATGCTCTTGAAATATAATGTAGAGTTGAATAAGATGAAGACGTACAGTAACATGGTCGATCCAGACCAGGTCGCAGTCATCAAGAGTAATAGCATCACCACCCCAGACGTACTTGGGGTTGATGTCGGTAACGGCGATGTTCCTGATTTCGTTAGAGAGCAAATTCTTAATGACACCGAGCATAACCTACTGGATGATGATGTTCTCAGCACCGCTGACAATACGGAGACCCTTGCCCTTGATTGCACCAGAGGAGCCCTCACCGATGAGGGACTTGTTGGAGGTGACGGTGATACCGAGGACACCAGCGTTGTAGCTATCCAAGTTAGATACAAGATCGAAGCGGGTGACAATCGCCAAGGACATACTATTCAACGCTGACAGAGGGAGCATCGGGCTCATAGTTCTCGCACCAGTCGTCCTGGTCAATAGCAACCTGGCAGGCGGAAGCGGTACCCCAGGGAGCGCAACCAGTGCCAGTGGTGGTACCTTCGCTGTCGGTGAAGTCGAAGGTCTTGGTCAGGACAATGACGCGGGCCTCATCGTCTCCAAGGTAAGAGACCAGCTCATCGATAGTGTCGGGGTAGACGGGGGTGGCATCACCGCCACCGGTGACGCCCTTGGCGAAACCCTCAGCAGAGCCGGACACGCCGACTGCAGCGGCGGAACCAGCGAAAACAGCGGCAGCAGCGCTGAAGATAGTAGAGTACTTCATGGTGAAGTGTGTAGAACCAGCTATGAAGGGGAAAGAAAGACTAAGGTGAAGACAGAGGTATGAAGAGAAAAGGAAAGGAAAGGAAGGAATGGTTTGATACAGAGAAGAGGTCAATACGGATGGGATTGGGGCCTTTTATAGGGAAGACTGACTCGTTGACGGAAGCATTTGACAAGAATCTGATAGAGCTTCCCCTCTGGCTCAGACCCATTCTGGGTAAATTGGACGGGTGATCGGTATGAAACGGCCAAGTGCATCTTTGATTAGTAGCCAAGGGCGATTGAGCAAAACCGTTGATTCTTCTCGGTCAGTCCACCGGCGCTAAAGTCGGTACTGGCCGAGCAAGTAGATTGAAGGGGGTCCATCGTATCGGACCATGGATGGAGTGATAGGCATCGATGACAACCAAGATTGGAAGGGGGAGAGAGGAGTCGTAGCCACATGGTTGTCCATCACGGTGATGGCCCCTGTTCGTGGACAGTGAGCTGGACAGCCCACCGTCTTGCAGGCTGTTGAAGGTCATAGGTGGATCTTAGGAGGGAGTCGGGGGATTTACGGCGTTTCATGATGCCCGCGCCGGCGCACTTAGTCACGGTAGTCTAAAGTAACTAGTCCATCCACTCGGGCTGGTGGGCCTCGCGATTGAAATTCTGTAAAGAAGCAATTCCTCCGTCTTGGCAGAGTCCTTGTGGCAATGATAGTCGGGAAAATACCGAATCCGACCATCAGGGTGTAGCTAGTAGTTTGAGGATGTTACGGATGGAAGGCTGGACGTGCTCGACAGTTAGGGCTGTTCATCAGTGGTGAAGAACAAGAGGGGAACCGGGGGGGAAACAATTTTGCATCACGAATCCAGCTTCTTTGAAAGGTTTAGCCTCCACTGAGACCGTTTCCGTTTCGATTATAAATGGATCCAGTATCTCCCCACGCCTCTCTATATCTCTAGTCGGTCTTCTAGTCAAATGAGAGCAGCTGGAAAAGCTGCGCAAAGTAAAAAAAAAAAAAAAAAGAAAAGAAAAAAGCCACGAATTAGGCGTTCTTGGTAAGGCGCCAGGAACGCCGGTCAAGTGGCCCACAGTGGAACCTTCGGGCTTCGGCGATATCAGGACACCACCCATCAAGTCGACCTCCGGGCAGCTATTGCTCCTCGAGTTTCGAATCCAGTGCAGAAATTTAGCCGTCCATTTTTAGAACCGATCTAGTTGGTTGACTGATGATTTTGTCATCCAGTCTGAACGGGTGACTGGTCACGATAAGGTGGGAGTATCTCGGACTCCGTAGGCATCAATCATAACTCATTTTTATCACGAATCAGGGGAGATGGAGTGACGTTGCCCCTATCAATCATATTTCCGGTCCAGCTGCACACTATACTGAGACATTTTCCTGTTAAGCTTGGATTCCGGTGTCTTGGCTCATCAAGCTTCGAAGCCGTAGAAGGAGCTTATTCCACACCAGAAAAATATACCGAATCAGACAATACGGGGTGGTAGTTTAATTAAACCCCATCTATGTGGTCTGTCCAGTTTGTCTAGAACTTGGTGAGCCACATCGAGGTGCCACTCACGCTTCGATGAGGGCTATAACATCACCCAGTTAGAGTTATCGAGCTAAGCCAACTGCGATCAGACGCATGGGTACCGGGCGCGCGATAGGGGTTGTTGTTGTCAACGCCCTAGATTATGCTTAACCAAATCCAGAATCATCCCCGAGGCTGTCGTGTTTAACTCTGATGGCTTTCTTGATATTGAATACGACGGCTGCCGTGTGCAAGTGCTGCGCCTTCTAGATTGGCTAACCTCTGATATGGGAGCCAAACCCCGCTTTTTGACAGCATCTCGAGTTGAGTGTGGAAGCAATCATAAGCATGCATGTTATTATTACGAAAAGTAGGTTGGCGATATATTGCCTGAGTAAATGACCTAGGGGTATTCGGAACCACCCGGAAGAGACTTGCTGGTTCCAGCCTCATCAAGGCCATCATTCACTTCAAACGTTGAGCTTTCTCGGCGGTGGTCCCTCGCCTTTATACTATTTGTGGACATGTTCCCTTGGTATATTGCTTGGCTGAAAAGTAATCTTCCGTCAATGCCTTGAGGAGAATTGGATGTAGTAAAGTCACGCAGTCGGAGTTGGATATACGCGCATGGCGGGAAGGACTTGATGCAGGAGTAATATAAATTCGTCATTCCCAGGCCGCCACCGGCATTTTGCTGCATGTTGATGGACCACCGATGCAGGCTACTGCAATGTGATAAAGTGCGGGTGATGCATAATCCCACTACCGCGCACGAAGGAAGCAAGCGTCAGTTGAATTCCACCAAGACGAGAAGGAGTTTAGGATGGTGGAGAAGCCCAGTTGGGTATAGTTTTGATACCTGAAGTGATGTGACTTGTTGCCTTGTTGCCTTGCTGCCTCAAAGCCTTAGGGCCTTGGGGCCTTGACACCTTGTAAATTCCTGCCTTGGCGCCTTGGAATATTGATGCCTTGTAGCCTGATATATATGGCTAAATTAAATGCCTTATAGCCTTAGGCATACATATTTCGGAACGGCAAATGATTTCGGCTCCGTTTCCCCTTTGGGACATTGCCTGTTGGCCGAGCATCCTCGAGTCACACGGACATAGAAGGGGACAGTGGGTTTAGACATCAGTAAAAGAGGCTATCTTTGCTCTCATATAGCTACTTACTCGCAATTTGACACAACTCATCTTCAATTGACCTCCGATTCGAGGTCACTGAGTGGAATTATATTCAGTCCAGTGCCTCGCCGTGTATCCCCGACGCTTGCAATTAGCCTTTGCGTGATTGGCCAGCAACAGCTGAGTCAGCCATTTGCCGGCCGCCAGACCCGAGGTTACCTTGAGCTGCCAAAGGCGACAAAACATCGCCAGAACCGATCGACTTCACTTCCTCGTGCCTCCCTTGGACCTCGTTTGTCGTTGCCGCTGGCTGGCTGCTCTTCTTTCAGGCCTCTCTCCTCTCCCTCCACCGCCGTCGACGTTCTTTCGTCTCATTGACCTCTCCTACTCGCGCATATCCTATTTTTCGCCATCTGTTAGATCTCTCGCCCCCCGATCGACCGTGATCTCTCTTTCGACCGCCCACAATGGCTGCCCTTCGCACGACCTCGCGCCTGTTCGCTTCCTCGAAGCCGCTGTTCCGCCCAGCCGCCTTTGCTCGCTCCTATGCGACTGTTGACGCCCTTTCCCAGGTGAGCGCAAGCGGCCACGCGAGCAGCAAGACCATTCCCGAATCTAAGACTTCGAATGTGCAGGACCCTAGCCCCTCGGAGCAGCCCCGGGTCAAGACTTTCCATGTCTACCGCTGGAACCCCGATCAGCCCACCGAGAAGCCCAAGATGCAGACTTACTCCCTGGATCTGAACAAGACCGGTCCCATGATGCTCGACGCGCTGATCCGCATCAAGAACGAGATGGACCCCACCCTGACTTTCCGGAGAAGTTGCAGAGAGGGTATCTGTGGAAGTTGCGCGATGAACATTGACGGTGTCAACACCCTGGCTTGCCTGTGTATGTTGTCCTGGAGTCCTTGGTGCGATGTCCCGGCTTGGTGGCGCTGACTTTTTGCTGTATAGGCCGTATCCCCACCGATACCGCCAAGGAGTCTCGCATCTACCCTCTGCCTCACACCTATGTCGTCAAGGACCTGGTCCCCGATTTGACCTACTTCTACAAGCAGTACAAGTCGATCAAGCCTTACCTGCAGCGCGACACCCCGACCGCGGATGTAAGTGTTGACAGCGTGTGCTAGCGATGTGGATTTTTTTACTGATAAATATATAGGGTCTCGAGAACCGTCAGAGCCCCGAGGAGCGTAAGAAGCTGGACGGTCTGTACGAGTGCATTCTGTGCGCTTGCTGCTCTACCTCCTGCCCCTCGTACTGGTGGAACAGCGAGGAGTACCTTGGACCCGCCATCCTCCTCCAGTCCTACCGTTGGTTGGCCGATTCCCGTGACGAGAAGACCGCCGAGCGTAAGGCCGCTCTCGACAACAGCATGAGCGTGTACCGTTGCCACACCATTCTTAACTGCTCGCGGACTTGCCCCAAGGGCCTGAACCCCGCACGGGCCATTGCGGAGATCAAGAAGATGATGACTGCTCATTAGAGAAGTGACACGAGATCTTAAAAAAGAATTGCTTTCTCTTTGTGCATTACGTCTTGTGTGGCTGGGTATTTTTCCTTCTTTCCTATCCCATTTCTTTCTGATTTATTCGTGTCTGAGCTTTATTCCCTCCATCCCCGAGGTCTTTCATGTTGGATGTGTTTCAATAGGTGTAAATTGTGAATGTGATTTATAGCCATGGCGGTCAGCCAGTGATCAATTGAGTATATACTTATTTGGTAGATGACTTGTGCGTAATAAGTCTAGATATGCATTAGGCCCATTTGTTGAATCGGTACTCTTTATATAAAGTGGTGTATATATAATATACACCGTTGTATTCAAGGAATTGGCATTGAAGTGATCTAAATACCTCATTTGAATATCCAACTACTAACAGAAAAACTAGTAGTTGAAGCCTAGAATCACCTGGTAGCAAATGATAACAAATGCCATCATGGTCTAGACCTGTCTTCGCTACCTTGAATATATATTCAGTTCACTGGTAGACAAAACCTTGCTAGTATCACAGAGATTCTGTTCTCCCGTGCATGAAGACAGTTGAAGTCGCTACTAGTCATTAGTAGCAATATATCAATTGAGATTATCAGTAGATCAAATAACTAGACCGCATCATGTCTATATGATATACCAAGACAGGGAAACCACCACATGAAGTAGTATAAAACCGAAACACCACTCACTTCTCACCATCACCCATCACCCATCACCCCACACACTCCACAACTTCAACAACAAGATCAATACAAAATCAATCAAATCAATCAATACCTCCCTCCCGACCCCAAGACCTCAATACACCTCTCCACCGCTTTCTCCATCCTCTCCGTCGCCTCCTCCACCAACCCCATAACCCCTACCCCCTTCCCACTAGCCTTCTCCCCCATAACACCAACCCACTCCCCATTCAACACCTTATTAATATTAATCTTACTAACCCCAGCCCCAATACACCTATCAAAAATCCCCTTATCAAAGGGATCCGCCCCATGCAACACCAACCTGACCCTATCCCCCACCCTCTCCCTTATGCTCTCCAACCGATCATACTCCAACCTAATCCCGCGGGGTCCATAACTCCCATGCACATTCCCAAAAGCCGGGGCAAGCCAATCAATCCCCGTATTCACGAACTCCTCCGCCTCTTCAGGTGTCGTCAACACGCCCTCAAGATCAGCCGTGTCTGAGATGCCGTCTTCTCCGCCCTCGATGCGCCCTGGCTCCGCTTCAGTCGCGATGCCGCGCTCGTGGCAATATGCCACGAGTTCGCGGGTCAACGCTAGGTTCTCGGCTCTCTCGTAGTGCGACATGTCGATCATGATGCTGTCGAAACCGGGGGTTATGTCCGCTGCCTGGCGGACTATTTCGGGTGTTTGGGCGTGGTCCAGGTGCACGGTTATCGGGACGGAGGCGTTGCGCGCGGCTTCGGCGGCGGCGTGCACGAGGATGGATCCGGCGTAGTGCAGGGCCCAGGGGAAGAGGAGGATCATGGCCGGGGAGCGGAGCTTTTCGGCGGCGCGGACGGTTGCGAGGATGCCTTCGAGGTTGTAGCAGCACATGGCGGGGATGCCGTAGTGGTGCTGGTAGGCGTGGTCCAGGATGGGGAGGGCGCGGTTGTTGGGTAGGGACATGGTTGTGGTGGGGTTGATTGAGGAGAAGGGGGGAATTTGGACAAAGAGAGGGGTATTGAATAAGTTAATAAGTTGTGTGGGTATGTGTGAGGGATAATAGTGCTATGGTGGTATGTATTCGATCTTATAGTTCTGTCGCGACGGAATGGTTGATGTTGACTCCACTATTGGCAGCCGGAGTTGCTCCGACCCATATGAGATCATTTCATATGATTATAATCCAGATTATTTCGGTGGCTCGTCTACGGATAAACACGGATTACACTGGTGCTGCCCTCCGATCCGAACCCTTGGCCCTTGGACATCAACAATACGTTCAATGCTGCATTGCCGAGATGGAGCGGGCAGTGCATGTCCCGCGCCTTCTGCACCACTTTCTCTAACCGACTGACCACCGCATCCAAAGTTTCTGTCCCAGCTGGCGCCTGTGCCCCAATTTTACCCTCAATCATCTCCAGTCCCCTCGTGATGAATACCTTGCTTCCCCCGGCTGCGTCGCTCACGAGTTCGAAGAATTGCGCCATATCGACACCTAGTGACCGTGCGAAAGCGATGGCCTCTGCAGCCGCGACAAGGTTCACACACTGCATAAGGTCCAGCACGAGCTGTATGGCCGTTTCTGGATCCTCGCTTGCAGTGGAAGTATTGAGATCTTTGAGCGGATGCGAGTAGTACTGGCGGATCATAGCGGAGTCGTCCTTGGGCCCGTAACCCTGCACGAGAGCGGAGAGATAGATCTGCTCTGCAGTCGCACAGAGCGGAACTGGGTAGTTGTTTTGACGGGCCGAGGTAGTGATGATGCCCTAATAATGTCAGTACGCGTGGTAGTGGCAAGGGTAGGTGTGACCTACAGCATCCTTCAAGATAATCGTCAGCGCGCTCGCCCCAGGATTCCAATCTTCCTCCAACATTCTAGGAAAACGGTTCTCATGCATCCAAGTCCACGCTTCTGAGCTCTTAATCCGTTCTGCTGTATTCACTGCATCCAGGCCCAGATGCGCCGCGAACCCCATAGCCTCGCTGGCACCCAAGATGTGGATGGCAGCCAGCACCTGATGTACCATTTTCATGTTACTGCCGGCTCCCACTCCTCCAGGGACAAGGTAAAGCTTGTTTGGGGCAGACATAGCCTGAAGTATATCGCGCGCAATTTGAAGTGCAGAGTCGGAACCGCCCGCCATGATGGAGAGGGTGCCGTCCGCGGCGCGCTTTGCACCTCCTGAGACCGGCGCATCGACAAAGTGAATATCTGATCGACCTCGAGAGGCAAGTTCTGCTGCGACAGATTGGGCATATGAGGCGGGCACGGTGGAACAAAGGAGAAGAGTTGCATTTTGGGGAAGATCTATCAAGTTAGCCTAAGGGAACCAACGGCTAGGGATGTACACACATTGCACAACGCCCTCATCTCCAAAGAGGACGGTTTGCGCCTGCGGCGCCGACGCTACCATACACACGTAGAAAAGTTTTCCCTCCGCTGATTCACGTAGCGACGAGGCGGGGGTGCCTCCCGCAGCCTGGAATCGCTGCACCGAGGCTGGAAAGACATCGTATCCGTAAACAGGGTATCCTTCGTGGACAAGGTGGGTGGCCATGCCGAAGCCCATGGCCCCGAGGCCGACAAAGCCAATGGCTGGTTTAGACATATTCAATTTCAATTGTTTGCTTTAGCTTCTTGAGCTGTAATCTTTGTCGTGTGGCTCGACACCATTTATGGAGGGGAATGGGTCGCTTTGAAGTCCGAGGACGTGGGGGATGCCGTGGGGGGTTCGGAGGCGGTCCGATCAACACAATCGCCAGTGGACTCTGGACACTGCCATTCGGTATCACCGTTAGAAACGTTTCTTCCGAGCTTGGGTCATTTTACTAGAGTCTACCCCGAGGCAGGACTCCCAATTCATTCTGACGTTCGGTTGGTCGGTGTTGCAGCCGATACTATGAGAGATCTCAAGCGATGATCGGCCCGTACTGATGTTGTCGGGCTTTTCCGCCGTCCATTGACTTTGGTGCCCACTTCCCGCTCCATTGCTATGTTGACGGTTATGTGCTGCTGCTATTTTTTTATCAAGACATCATGAACAAGATGATGGTGACAGCGGTAATTTTGCTTGAAGCACACTCGTCCAAATGGGAGAAAATCATGGGTGCTTGATGATGATGTTAACTAATCTAAACCACAAGCACTGTCGGAGTATAGCAACCATGCATTGGAGAGATCAGGTTAGCTGGTAGAAACATTACATCGTCTGTTCATCCTGGTCGACCGAGTCGCGATGTGTACGAAAATGGGCTTGCAGTATTTTCTCGAAAAAAAGGCAAAGTCATCGTCGGAAACTCATGTGTCGGTGGGAACAGTGAGCTAAACTCTCGGTAATGATACTGACGTATGAATCTCAACAATGGATTAGAATAGTTCACGAAAGTCGAATCTGAAACGTTCCTTGAAAAGTTATATGTATAACAGTCACTACATTTTCAAAACAAATAGAAGTTAGCAAAAGAGACCCAAGATATGACCAGGAGAATGGTAACTGTAATGGTAGTATTGCACTGCTCTTTCAATGTCGGATATAACCTGAGATCGACGAGACAAATTTCACGCTCATAATATGAACCACCGATCGGGAGAGCAGCTCACGAAGGGACTACGATTGCGTAGGAGACTGTCACAATCCCAATGCAGTATACCCTGCAGAAGGCCATTTGAAGGACTGGTGGGTATGCAAATGTGTCATATAGTATTCTTTGACCAGCTTTGAATTCTAACAGTAAGCAGTAGTTGACCGGAGAGAGCAACCTAACGGCACGTTGGTGGACACCTCGCCACATGCGTGACCTCTTTTTCAATAGGTCACTCACTTAGTGTGATGCGGTCATGCACGCAGCTAATACCTGGGCTGGTTTGCAGAGGGCTGTAGCATTTCAATCGTATAAAAAAGCAGGAAGCATCAGAATTGTCGCAACGACCAGTATCAATTATGGAAACCTAGAAATACTTGAGATACAGAGGTCGCTGGACAAATTTGGTTGAATTCTGTATTTTCAACAGCACGATCAGAGACGAATGTAAACATTGCGTAATAACCCACACCACCTAGTTTACTATTAGACCAGGGAAACCATAAAGCGTACAGACGGCCAGTACACCTTCAGCTCTGGAGGTAAAGTGCTGAATGCCTACCAAGAATGTCCAGTAGAGAGACCGAAGTGGTCAAAGACATTGAGGTAAAGAATATGATGGGGTGTGCTCAGACAGCCTTGCGAGCTTTTTCTGAGGGTATCCCAACAGCAAACCAGACGCGGAACGCGTAGACTTGGCCGTAGATAAGAGCCGGCAACAACCCATATGAAAAATGTCGGCCCCGACCGGCCAGTGACGAACATCTGACCGAGTAATTAAATCGTGGTACAGTTCAGTAGGATGCACCCAGGGACGCGAGATTGCTCCAGCTGCTGGCCGGATGCCATGACATCTTCTGTGGCCGGGCTGTATGGGATCACGGTCGCAGTCAGCACAGGGTTTACTCGCCCGTAAAAAGGAACAACTTGCATGCCTGAGTAGACAGAGAGATATTACATACGCCGGCAGATCAATCCGAGTGAGCTTCGCCAAAGTATCGTCAACGGACGGGTAAAGCGTCGCCTTCAAGGCATGGAAATGCGTCTCATCGGTCAACTCGCTGGTCATCGGCCACGGTGTTTAAAGCAGCTAATCCATCAAGCTGTATGTACAGTGATAAAAGTTTTGAGAGTAAGATACATCTTATTCTCTTTCAACCCGAGGAGTGAAGCGCAGAGAATGAGGTGAGGTGTTGATGGAAGGGGAAAAGACCAAAAGGGAAGGCAAGTGTCGATCGTGAGGAACTAACTTCCGATGAGTAATGGCAGGAGCTTTCAACTGTCCTGGCCTGTGTCTCATTCACTGTCACGTCGTGGGTGCAGCTTTCTTCTGTTGAACGCCCCAGCAAATGGCCCCCAAATTTGATATAGGGGTGATGTTTAAGCAAACACCGACAAAAGGGAATTAGAACGGAGAACCATACCAATGATGAGGTTATCCGACTTTCGAAACATTAAAGACATCACAGGGGAAATTGAAGGAAGCTACGTCAAAGCATTCCAGTATACCAACTCATAACCTCGCCAAGTTTCAGAAGTCAAACTAAATGAAGGATGTGCGCCCGTCATTCTTGGACTCACTTTGGTACAATCTTGGCTGTGGCAGCGCCCCTCGTATTTTACGTTTCCCTGCCACAAGGCTACTTGTACACTGCAGATCAAGAAGCACTGCCCTGCACACATAGCAACGAAGGAATGCCCAGAGTTCCCCACCCCTACTTGGACCATTCGCGGGAGAGCCTTTCCCCAGACGATGTTTGCCTAGTTAGGCGCAATCTCAGCCTCGCCCCGGGAGCCCAACGGCCACTTCATCCCCTGCCAATCGCGTGGATCTCCTTTCCACATATGATCGAAGTGTCTCATCCCAGAGGTCACCGGAGCACGAGCAAATAAAATTTGGTCGTATTTAAGTGGCTAGCGATGCGTTCCACAAATAGTTCTAGGCGTTGGCTCAGACGAGGCTTTGAGCCTCCGATCTAATTAGTACAACTATAAGAATGCGTCCGGCAAACAAATTAAAAAAGTGTTCTGCTCTAAGCTACCCATCGCTGAAGACAGCTACTCAGACGCTTAATTTCGACATCACTCTATAGTACCTGTTACAATGGCTGAAAAGGCGAACCCTCGTGCGTTCATCCAAGGAAATGTATGTGTACGCCGCTAACGTTGACAGCAGCAGTCCCTGCCTACGAGGAACAACCGGCCGAAACCCAAGAGCTTTCCTCCTCCAGAGAGGTGCCTGCATATACGCAACCTCCCGCGGGACAAACGCCCGAAATCCAACCGCATCAGCCCCAGCAAACCTTTTATGCAGGCTCTCAACACCCGAGCGGCTATAATACTCCGACTCCGCTGTATGCCCTGCAGAAAACACCAGCACCCGTGGATTGCCCGGCTTGCGGAGAGCGGAAAATGACTCGCGTGGAGGCAGAAACGGGGAGTTCAACTCAGTATGTACACGTGCTCCATAATGGCGAACCAAACTGACAATGTCCATAGTGCTTGGGCTGCCGTGCTTTGCTGCTGCCTGTGTCTCGGATGTATTCCTTACATGATGTCGTCGCTAAAGAATCAGTGTCATTACTGTGGAGGTTGTGGTGCCTTGTTGGCTACATGGCATAACAGTGGACGGACGGATGTGCATCGGTCTGGTGCGAAGTGATGCGATTATTTTGCTGTTGCCTATGTCTTTTTGCGTTCTTTATGTGATACCACTATGATCTTTTTACCATACCATATTTGGACATACTTACTGTGATGCCTGGGAAGCATTTGCCTTGTCTATAGACTGCGCGAATGCACATATGTCTGGTGCCTGACCTATGGGTAAATGTACACTCTAACTTGACTTATCAGGACTCCAACCTCCCTTTCACTTTCTTAGTATTATCAACTTCGTCGATTTTGCAGCTATATGACCAAAGGGACAGTGACCAAGCAGTTACTACCTTCATATGTACTCGACTCCTATGCGGCAGAATGAAATCGACATTCAATACGCGGGATCCCCATGGCTGAAGGACAGGTACCCGATTGGGCAATCTCTGAGGCGGTCACAAGCTCTCAGTCTCTATCTTGAACTGCTGATCATAGTATTCTGCGGGCCCGTTGTTTAGCCATGATAGGCCGCATACGAGAGCTGGACCCAAGTGGGACCATCTGGTTCAGCCCTAATGGCTGGACCCTGGATCTTTCTACAGTATGCATCTTCTGGCGTCCAAGGACAATGATTCCGGAAGGCTTCTTTGGCTCGCCCAAGTTCAGCGAGTAGTAAATCCATGTCTCATTGCATCGGCAATGCTGGGAAGGGGCCGATTAGATAAGAGCGCGGACCGGATGTATGACGTCAAGGATGTTCTGCCGGCGAACACGAGAAGGGGTCTGTTCTCTAGAATTCCTATCAACAAAGCCAGAGCTTTCGCCTATGGATGAATCCTCGATTCTCCTGTCCACGACTCATTTATTTCGCATCCACTGCAGCCGGGCACGAATCGGGAGGCCTGGTGGTGGTAGAGAACCATGGCCGTGAAAGAGTGGTGACGCCAGCGGGACGAGCGGATCGCCAAACCTTGATCACGATTGATTTCATGACTGTTCCTTATGGTAAACCATCGCTATGCGCGTCCTATGGCATGCAGCTTGGGGATGAAGCATCAGAAATAGGCGTTGATAACTGCGAATGGCTTCGGTGTAACTGAAGGTGGGGAGAATGCACACCTCCCTGTCCGGAGTGCTGCCGCGCCAATGGACTGCCTCGAATGGCCTCACCTCGAGTTGTTGTGTGTTGATGACCCTTGATCGTCCCGAGTTCGACTTACCAAGTTACCCTCCTGTCAGAAATAAGCTTCATGGGCCAACCCATCCAGCGTTGCATGCATGTGCCCTCCTTCACGTCATTGCGCTCCTTGCTGTCATGACCTTCCGCTGCTCCCGATGCCGCCAGTCCTACCAGTAACCAGGGTTGTTCACCCGCCCGTCCAACTCTTCCTTTCTCTCTTTATTTCCCTCGTGTCATATCATCTCTGCTTCCCGTGCCGTTGTTCTCGCAGGAGTCGTGGGCATCCTCATACTGTCTTGATCAGTCCTCGTTCACTGAAGCCGCGCGGCCGTTCTTCGTGAGTTGCACATGCTTTGAGGGGATTCCTTGTGGTAGGCTAATATGAAGTAGATCATGGCCGCTATCGACCTCCTAGCCCTTGAAGCACGACACCAAGTGATCAAACGAAGCAACTGGGCTGGCGAGAATCCCGGTGTGGTCCTGGTCTTTTGCATCGTTTTCATCGTTGCTGTGGGAATCATCGCGCTCTTCATCTACCGAAAATGCATGGCACGGAAAGCAGCGAAACAGTCATATGAGGTCGAAGCTTGAGCTATTGACTGATCCGACCGATGATGCTGTGAAACGAGAGTAGGGGAGGAAGCAGGATGGAGGATACAAATTCGGGCTGGCTACGTCGCTGCAACGATCGATACGCACGTTCTTCTTATCTTTATGTGCCTTTTGTCCGTCCGTCGAGGATACCCGCTCGTGCTTTTGGTGGAACTGGGCGCTGACGGATCGCGTTGATTTAATGATTTGCTTGGATGGTGTTGGCATAAGGATAAAGAGTCTTAGTTGGACGGGAAGAGAGGATATACTGAATACATACTTTTTAATTTCCCCAATTGGATGATATTCCAACAACTCGGACATTGCATCGTGCTCTCGATAAATTGTACAATGCTGGGGACGAACTTGGCTGAATGGCCTACTTAGTACTATGAAAGAGCTGCCACGGCCAGAATGGGCCACTTCCGCATGGGACCAGCAATTGCGCCAATGATGGGACTGCAAGTGGTCCAGATGGCAACGGACCTCGTATTCGGGTGGATCGTCATCAGCACCGATTAAGGTTCGTAGCAAAGCTCCATCTTCTTAAAGATAGACTGATGCGCCTGAAGATGGAGAAAATATTATGGCAGGCGCATACTTCCGTAACTCTCATCATTTTCTTCACAATCTGCCGCTGATTACACGGAAGGAGCCTTAGGCGCCCGCCCTTAGAATGCCATCTTTCCTCTCTGTTTCATCCTTGGTGCTTGCTGCTTCCCTCAGCACCATCACCTATTTGACTTTCCTCCACCGTTGCCTCAAGAACCGCATACACCATGAGACACATTGCGGAACACTCTCCAGCTCGGTGTCTTCCACCATATCCACGATTCCCCCCGAAGTATACACGCCGGAATACTATGCTCTCCACGATCGAGCTAGCCGCCGAGTACCCCGCCAGCTGCTTCCCCGTCAAAAAGACGCTGAAATCCTGACCATCCTCTTGCGTCGCAACATGACAGCTTTCGCACACTTTCCTCAGTGCTATATGCTGTGGCTGATCAGTCCAGCCTCAAAGCGCCCAACGTTCCACACATCATATATTGATTCGCTGGATTTCAACAAGGGTGATGTTGTCTGCGGAGTATACCGTGTGCTGGACCGAACCGCGAACAAGGTTGAGTTCGGAATGACATACAAAGGGGTTGATGGACGATTGGTGATCCGATTCTGGGATGAGGACAAGGACGTTGTTTTCGCCAGTGAAACTGCTATGTGGACAAAGGTGGATGAAACAGAGCGCGCCACAATGCCACTCGAAAACCCGGTGCTTCGGTTCTTTCATGAATTGGCCGCGTGGTGGCTGTTAGATTCCGGGGTCAAGTATCTGACGGACTTAGATGCAGAATTGGAGGATGATTGATATTCGAATTGTTCCATCGAAGTGAACTATCATAAAGGAAACATGCCGTATGAACTATCGTCAAGTACCGATTGCTCTGTGGCTTGTGGTTCGGAATCTATATAGGGACGCTATGGTATTGTTCTTTTACTTTGTCTACTCCTACACATCGCAGGCATATAAGCCTCCTCGAATTCCTGTGCATGCAACATCTTGAAATTTTCCATCTGCTCCAAATCTTCCAACGCATTCAATACAGGCCAAATCTGCCTCGATCCCCAAGCGAGACATTATGTGCCAATATACCTTCCACAACAACCCTGACTGCGGCCATATTGCAAACTTCACTCTTGATATCTGCGTTGAGATGATGAATGCAATGCGCGAAGGCACCAAGAACCCACCTGACCACAAGGTCACCACAGTCCATGACCTTCTGCCGAAAGGTCCCCCTTACCAGTGCCGGCCATGTGAGGGCAAGCTCTCCAAGGTGGACACCAACTGTTCAGACTGTTCCGATTCCGAATATGTTGTTTTGGAGGGTCAGAACGCAGGCGTCCCAATTGTGCACAGCTATATGGAGATGTGTCTGAATGAGAAGAATACACCACCTGATGGCTGTGACAGCTTCGTGCATGTGAACCGACAGGGGTCCCCTCCCTCGGCACCAAAACCGATGTCTGCCAGCCAAACTCTGAAGATGAGGGACCTGGCTAGTACTGAACCAGAGATCCATCCGCCAATTAACATGATGGAAACACTGGAAGGATATGAAGACTTTTTGAAGAGATCGAACGAACAACTTCGTGCTTATCGCCTGCCTTCTACACCTATTCGCAGTCCAGACTCAGGGAACCACGAGGGTATTCCTGTCGCAAACCAAACATGGTATGAGAGTGACTCCGAAACAGAGCCGGACCACGTACAGTCTCCTCGTCCCCTTGGCTCTCCTTTCGGTTCACCACATCGGGCCTCACGACCAAAGGAAGCCCCATTGCGCGTATCCGACTTGAATGGCTCACCACCTAGTCAACAGCCAGGCTACCTCAAGGCAACTCCCCGATTGACCAAGACAGGGATCCAAGGCGAGGCTGTGCCCGTCCACCGATCAAACGGTACCACAACTCCGCCCAACAAGCACTTGTATCCGACGCTGCTTCCTTGCACACCTTCTCATCTGATCATCCCCCCAAGCTATTCTCCACCACCCGCACCACGCAAGACCCATCGGAAAAACTATACGGATTATAACCCTTTCGACACACCCGGTCTTCCTTTCGGACGCGAGTACAGGCTGCCGCGTCATGGTGTTATGAATACGGTTCTTCAGTCACCACCGTCGCAATATCCTGAAGTTTATAACAGGAGCTATTCAAGACAATACTGGGGTCCTTACATGGTCTGACACCTGTGTGCGTTAAGCAATGGTGATAAAGCATAAATGGCAGTATCTAGGGGTTCGAAGATATCAGCAATTACCAAGTTAACATTTCGGTCTTGTTGTTGATCTGATTCATACTATATATATACACAAAAATACCTGTGGATGCATGTGTTCTATTTCACTGCTGCTCAAATATTTTTTTCGGGTCAGTTCATACGAAAGTGATGGCGATGATATCAGTGACAGGCTGAGTACCAGCCTGAGAATGTGGTATGGTGTTTCACCGCGAGTTATCGGTTCAAAAGCATCTGATAGTCCAATTATTTGGAATTGTCAGTGTATTAGTTATGGTTATTGCAAATGGACATTCAATCAATCAAGTTCAGATTTTCATTCTTTCACACTTATAATTGTAGACAGGAAAAGACTGATACGTAGTGGTAGTCCTGAATGACCAAGATATCTGAAGAAATTCATTCAGTCTCTATCTGTCGCCTACGAGCTTGGTATGCATACGAATAAAACATGCAACCTAAGTATCATAATAAACAGTACTAACGAGCTAATCATTCATTGTATTACCCATCACCACCAAGAACCCGACCCAACTAGTAATCAACAAACAGAACCAAGGATATCACATCACATTACATCAAATCATAGAACCATATATCATAGCTCATGCAACAACCAACAGGAATATCCCAAACTCCGATCCTACCACCCAATGAACACCCAAATCAAGTACAAGAAAGAAACTGACAAAGGAAAAACCACTACCACTTCCCCCGACACATCGGACAACTCGTTTGCCGGTTCGCGTCAAGTGACGAGGCTAGCCACCGATCCATACACTCGCGGTGGAAGTTGCTCCCGCATTGTTTCTGGCACCAGACGAGCGAGTTATCGTCGTGGTGGGTAGAGTCTTCTTCGTCTAGAGGGCAGATGCAGATGCAGCAGTCACCTTCGATGGGTTGACGGGTTATGCCGCAATCTGAGATTGTGGGTAGGATGGTGGGAGGGGGAGTTGATGGGGGTGTGGGGAGGTGGTGTTGAGGGGTAGAAATGGATGTAGAGGTAGTCTGGATTGTGGTTTCCTGTGTGTCTGTGGGAGTAGAGGGAGGTTCTTCGTTGTCTGAGGTAGGAGGGCTTGGGAGTTGAAGGGTTGGGGTGGAGGTTTCTGGGGTTTCTGTAAGAGGGGTGGATTCTTGGTTGTTTGTGGTTGAAGGATGGTCTGGATTGGTAGATGCAGTTGTGGTGATGGTAGCCTCGGGTTCTGCGCTGGGGAAGCTGATTGCTCTTCTTGAGATTGTGCTGCTGGAGCCGGAGGTAGCATTGTTGTTGCTTCGCTGGGCAGGGGGCAGGGTAGCTAGTGCATCGTTGGTGTCATCGATTTCGACTATTCTGGGTTCAGAGCTCGGGGTGGCAGCATGTCGTTCAGCTTGAGCGGGAGTAGCTGGGGCATCGCTTGTCCTCTGTACCCTGGTCGTGCTCACGATAGTGCTTCTGCGGAGTTGCAAGTTCGTGCTGGTAGAAGTGTTGACCTGCAAGGTCGTCTCGACACTCCCTCCACGAGGGTCCTGCCTCTGTGAAGACAGCAAGCCACTCGACACCGAGTTCCTCTGCACTCCGTATTCCTCGTTGTGCTCAACCGTAGTAGTCTCAGACTCAACAGTAGTAGCAGCAGGAGGAGGAGAGCTTCTTCTTCTTCTCGCTTCTTCCTGTCCTCTGGCATATCCCATAGCCGCACTTCTCCTGACCATGTTTTCGGTATCCCGTCTAGTCCGCTCAGCGTCTCTCTCCGCCCGTTCTTTCTCCCGCTGTGCTCTCTCTGCCTTACGAATTGCATCCTGCATCTTCCTTTCGAGTTCCGCAAGTCGATCCTCTATACTTGTTTCATTACGCATCGTTGGCGATGGCGACCGCCGAGGAGTCGATTTACTCGGCAAGCTCCTAGGAGTAGACCGATGTTTCGCGACATATGTATCGACTCGTGAGACCCAGGTATTAGTTAAGCCGACAGCTTGGTTCTGGTGATTTCTTGTGCAGAGGACGAGAGGAGCCAAGTCCTCAAGTATATGCTCGATAGATTGGCCGGCTCTGAGCAAGCGGGTTCCTTGTTCGAGGAGGGAACTGGCATGTCGGCGGTTTCTGGCGTTTGTGGGGTTGTGGCAGCGACGGCCTTGCGAGGGGGCAAAGCCAGCACACCAGGGCTCGTCTTCTGGGTAGACTTTTAGAATTTCAGAGAGATGGCGTGGCATTTTGATATGATGTGCTGAATGGGCAGCAAGGGCTGAGTGGGTATGTAGTAGACAGCTAAAGTGGAAGCGCTTGCTCAGTGGTTTGCAGTTCGAGCACGTACAACAGAAGCAGCGCAAAAGTAAAATAAATAAAAATCTCTAGCAAATATATAAGATGAATGTTAAGCTTAGAAGTCTATTGATTCCATCCGGCAGACGTTCTAGATGACGCCTTTATACCTCATGGTCCATGGTCCTTATCTCGAGATGGAGGGAGGCCATTGTGGCTGTTCACTGCAGCCTCTCTACCAGCGACGAGGCTGAGCAGCAGACTAGCCATCAACCCCTGTTTGGGAGAATGGCTGAGATAGCGACCACGCGCTGTAGTTTGAGCGATAGTGCGACTTGTGGTGCACGAGCTACGGGATTAGTGGGCATTTGGGGCGAGCGTGATTGGCGTTGGGACGATCACTAAATATGGCGCACTCCCGGGGATGGAATTGGGCGCGACTTATGACTAGAAAGTACTAGTATGGAAGCGGGGGTGGATACCAAAAATACCCACCGCCTTTGATGGGGTTCCAGTTCCGAGTTGCAGCAACAATGGGATCATCGCGTCATTTTTTGCTCTTCTTATTTCCCCAAAAGAACAATTCATTATGTCAGAAATTGTAGAAATTGTATAAATAATGCCTGGTTCCTGCAACTCGTTCAGGGCATTCACAGTGCCAAATGGCTTTCTCCTTGACCGCTGGTTTGTGTTATTCTTTCCAATTTGTTTAATACTGTGCCCCTGGCCTGGGTAGCTTTAGTTTTATAGTATACTACTATCATTTACTTCTATACCTCTTCCCGTCCCTGCTTGTCTGCCAGAGGGTATAGTAACCTTCGTACCATTCTTGACGGGACTTCCAACACATAGTGAATGAGCCATGGAACCAAATCGGTATGCTCATTGCTATTTCCCTGGGCTTTCTCCTAACAGCGTTATGTTATTTTGTTGTTGCTGACAGTCTCACTTTAAGCCCCAAGCGACACCTCTTATCGTTACCGGCGGAGATCCGGATCCTAATCTACAAGGCGGTGTTTGACGATAATGATGTTTGTGAAATCCAACGCAGACCCATTCCCGTCTGGTGTCCTGTCGACAAATGCTGGCACCAAGTCCGGCGACAGTTCATGGCCGACCAGACTAATCGAAATAGCTGGGATGGCTTCTGTTCACATCCGGGATGTCAAACGAAACAGGGGCAAACAGTCAGCCGCGACATCTACGTCGGTCATGGTCCACTCATCGCCTCCGGGCATTATCCATGCCCCCAATCCCTGGACAGGAATCCAGCGCTTAGTCTCGGCTTCCTTCGCACCTGTCGCCAGGTATACGAAGAGGCACGACACTTCCCCTATAGTCGAGCCACCTTTTTCACCCAAGAACTTGGCAGCTTTGCCAACTTCACCTATTGCTTGAAAGCATGGCAAGTCGCCTCCATAGCCCATCTCCGAATCCGGATCCCTTTGGTGCAGAGCGTAGAGACACATCTGGCCGAATGGAACGAAACGCTCTCGTTGATCAGCCTGGCATTCCACGGCTTGTCTACTATCTCTGTTGATGTCCACTTCCGCTATGCTGAGCAGACCTGGAGGGACACCTTCTGGGATGGCGGGCTCCTAGAATTGGATCGGTTAAAGTTGAAGGGCATGCAACTGGTCATCTACGAGGGGGAAAGGGATCCCCGTCAGTTTTTCGAGTATTCAGCGGGGACCCTGGCATCTCCAAAGCCGAATCAGAAGGCTGTCACCCCCAACCCCATCAGCTTCCACCATGCCCGTGATACCCTTCGACAACGTGACCAGTCGCGCATTGATCCCAACGATACCGGGCGCTTATTCTTCCGTCTGTCACCCAACGATTTCCCTCTCTATGTGTGCAATCTCATCCACTTGCTGCCTCAGCGGCCTCGCACTGAAGCGGAGATCCGACGCGAGGATAGACACCAGCGGGACTACAACTACCACTACGCTTATCCCGAGGACGATCCTGGACACGTGAACCCAATCTTTGGCTTCCAATTCAGTGACGCGCTGAAGGAAAACAAGGATGAAATTGCGCGAGGGCTAGATAAGCTGCAGCGGTCTCGCAAACGCCTGCAGCAGCAGAGGGCCAAGTCGCCCTTGCCTTTGCCGTACAAGCCCAGTCGGAGAGGCGTCTACCCACAGAGTCGGAGGAATAGCCAGGAGTATCAATCCGACCGCAGTGATATGGGCGAGGAGGTTGAGCGTCCCGGAGACTGGAGACGCCGCTTGGTTCAGGAAAAGTTTGCACCGTTTATGGAGTCCTTCCCATTGTCAGCGACCCGAAAATACCCCGGACCCCAGAGCATTTGTTTGAATTGCCCAGGAGAGGCAACTGGAGACAGCGAGCATCTGAAATAAAAGTTTTGTAAATGGTCTCACTGCATGTATATAGTGAAGACATAATTTTCCTTAATAGAGAACGAGAGTCGAGTTGACTGTGCAGCCCGAACACCTTGAAATTCATGATTAGCAACATCAGTATAGTATCGCTTCCCTCTCGCCCGATCTCCAACCAAGACCAAGCAGCGAGACAGGCAGGCAGTCAGTCAGTCCCCTTGTCCCTGAAGCTCCTTGCTTGTACAGTGATGTTGAGCGGTACGTAATGTTGTGGGGGAAGGAGGAATGGGGGAATTTCCGGTACGTAATGGCATCTGCGGTGGTTGGATGGATGGATCCGGGATCAGTCATTCGTGATACTTACTAACTCACTGACTTACTCTTGGGGAAGGTTGAAGGTGAAGTGGTCAAAGTGGAAACAAATTGCAGCAGTTGCGGTGGAGAGAAGCAAGTGGAGCTGCACCATTTCGAGCGAGTGTCGTGATTTCCCCATTTCTCTTTGTCATCCCCAACCGGTTTAGCCACCCGGGAAACTTAATTAACCAGTCAGAGAAGACTCTAGGCCACGGAACATTCAATCCTTGAGGTTCATATGACCGCTTCAATAATTGAATGCCACGAGGGGAGCTTTCCTCCTCGTTAGTGGCATGCGGGCACCAACTCAGCAGGTCACGGGTCGAAGGGGAGAGACTTTACTGGATTGGAGCAAGAAAGGGGTCTAGATGGATCACAACATCTTCTTCTCCTCTGCGGGGTATTACGTTATAACCTCGGACGCTGGCGGCTTCTCCATGTCGATCTGCTGAGGTACATACTTTTGCTAGTGGGTTCTAGACTAGCCCTGTACAACTTTTGCCTTGAAAATTCGATGAGGTGAATGTCTGGGCATTATCATCATTGCTGCTGGTAATAATTATATCCCTCAGCTTTCTTTTCCCTTTTTTTTCTTTCACACTTCTTGCAGGTGGGGCGGGATGGTAATATTACGGTTTGTTTGCCTGCAGCCTTGCGTAACTTTACCCCATCGCCGGACTGGCTTTTGCGTAGTTTCAAGCTGGACCCAAGAATGGGTGAAAGGCAAGGACACTACTAGTAGTAGTAGCAGAAGGGGAAAGAAACTGACAATGACCCTATCATGACTAAGATCATGCAATCAGCCAATTGTTCAGACTTTTCTTCGCAACAAATACTTATTGGTGGCCTTATTAGTCAGGTGCGCAAGGCATTTCCGTGTGCGGCCACCAATGACCTCAACATGACAGATTCGGGAGATCGACCGGCCTTATGCGCATCGCCATGGAAAGCTGTCTTCAGCTGTTTTCTAGTACTTACCCCTGGATAACTGAAGGCTGTGAATAATTATTCTTGATTCATCTATCAAACATGGCTACCACTCTACTCATTACTGGAGCCACCGGAAACCAAGGGGGTGCGGTCATTAATGCTCTGCTGGCGCAGGACGCAGACGTTGAGATCCTCGCCGTGACCCGCAACCCGCAGTCAGGAACATCGCAGAAGCTTGCCGGAAAGTCTCCCAAAATTAAGCTAGTTCAGGGCGACCTTGATCATCCATCGGAGATCTTCGAAAATGCGAAGAAACTCGCCACTCGGCCCATCTCTGGGGTCTTTAGCGTTCAGGTAGTCTCCAGCCATATGCTTTCCACCCACCCGCAGTAATAGTTAACGCAAGATAGAACCCTATGGCGAAAGGCCAAAATGTAGACAAAGAAGAAGTCCAAGGTAAAGCCTTGGTTGATGAGTCCATCAAGCAAGACATCAGACACTTTGTCTACAGCTCCGTCGATCGCGGTGGTGATGCCTCCACGGACAATCCAACCAATATCCCTCATTTCATCAGCAAACATCGCATCGAACACCATCTGTTCGAGCAAACCAAGGATGGAGCCATGACATGGACTGTCCTCCGTCCGGTGTTCTTTTTTGAGAACCTTGTCCCGAGCTTCATAGGCAAGCTGAGCGCCACAGCCTGGGATGCCTACCTGCAGGGCAAACCGCTGCAGTGCGTTGCGGTCAGCGATATTGGGGTGTTTGCAGCCAAGGCTCTTCTCGAGCCACAAAACTACAAGAATCAGTGTATTTCTCTCGCCGGAGATGACTTGACATTCGAACATATGCAGAAGTTGTTCAAGGCGAAGACGGGGGAGACGATGCCAACCACATACCGGGTGGTCTGTTATGTACTGATGTGGATGGTCACTGATTTGCGGCTTATGTTCAATTGGTTCTACAGTCATGGCTACGGAGCAGATATTCAGGGTCTAAGGAAGATACATCCTGGCCTGAAGAACTTTGAAGCGTGGCTGGAAGAGGACAGCGAATGGGTGAAGCACTGATATGGTCTGATACCACTGCGCTCCATTATTGACTTCTGAAAAGTTTCAGATTGGTAACACTGTCACTTAATGTACCAGCAATGTTTGTTGTACTACTACTACCTACTTCAGCTGCTGCCTGGGCTGCAGTTTCTATCAATCTGTATGGATACCTAATGTTGAATGATAATCCCTGGGTGGTTGTACAACTTAAGTCCTCATAACCTCTGGATACGGGAAATCTAGCCAATCTATCTCCCTTCCTACTTTCCCGCGTTTCACCTCATCCTGGACCACTCTGCATCTTGTATCCGAGACGCCTCCATGTCACATGTTGTCAGCATGCTCTCCTCTGGGCTACTTATTTCGCTCCCTCCCCTCTCTTCCTCTTCATCCTTTCTCTACCTTCTTCCCATCTGCATACAGCTTCCCTCTTTTACCTCTTCTATCACTTTCATCTATATCCATCTCTATCACCTTTTATACACATACAGTGTATCTATATACAGTGTCTCTCACTCTCTACTTCCTCTAGACTTTCATTTTCACTCCCACCTACTTGCTTATACTTCAATGCCTTTCCTTCTGCTTCATAATCCCCTTACTCAATGGACCACTGAAAAAGCCTTCTCACCTTTCTATTGAGTTGGATCCATATCCCCTCACAAACCCATTCGAGGAATAAGGACCAACTAGTCCCTCTGTTCCAGTCTATATCGGCTAGTTCCAAGAGCATATATGCGCATGGACGTGCGTATATCCTGTGGACAGAAGGGAGGATGTCGTATAAAGAATACGGCGATTCGGCTCTGCACTCAAAGGGGTAGACTCGGGAACCACTGCTCGGGAAGTCTGATGGGTAATCCGTCTCTTATGGATTCTAGTCGTCGGTTCCCTCCGTCACACGGGGTGGGGGTCTATTTCATGGATGATTAAAGGGATTTGGAAGAATATCGAGCGAAGTTGGTACGTTCTTCATTTGTTGTTCTATATTGAGGCTATTCTTGCTAATCATTTCTCTGGAAATTGATAGATGATGGGGTATACATGATTTGCACTGCAACCCGAGTATCGTATGGGAACACCTGAAACGAATTGTATCATCAGGCTACTATACCATCTGAAGACCAGTCACTGTTGACTGCAAGGAGTACGATCGATTTATACTACAAGTGGCTACATCACCTCTTTTTCGACATTTCACTTTTGCACCAGAGGGGCACCGTGCTCGAAAATGGTCACTGGCGACACATTTTTGTCAAGTGGAATACTTCTTCCACAGTCATGACTGATGCGGTGAACGAGGACGATGGTCGTGGACAACGAGGATCCTGACGAGAACTGCCCGATACACCACATGTACCCATTACGAAGATCAATCTCATAATGCTCGTATTCCAAAGTGTTACAAGTTCATTTGCTGTCAATTTGCCTGGTTCAGAAGACTCAACGAACGACTGAAGCAACATACATAGAAAGCATGACCAGCTACAGCCAACCGGTCTTTTCGTGATCAATGCCCCATTTTATGTACACTTTCGCTGGATGGATGAATGAGATGACCCGTGCAAGTTGACTTCGATGAAGATTATCAGCATTGAGTGAGAGGGTCTACAAAGCTTCTCCATACCTCTTCGAGTGTGTCTGATGTCAGTGATGGAAAAGAAGTCCAGATTTACGCCAGAAAAGTTACGCAATCAATTGTGACAAGAACAAAGGCAATGGAATTTCAAAGAGAAAAAGACGAGTATTCCCGGCTACCATAATTTCAGAACATCGGCAAATCTTCAAGTGTTTCGGTCAATAGGCTGCGTCTGGAATTCATTATTGACCCGTAGCAGAGAGCTACACCAAATAAGTCATTGTCTGTTTTCCCAGGTTTTGTGTGCACGCCGACGTTGGAATCCGCGGGATTAACCTCCCAATTGACTTGGTGACGATTTGAGGAGCTCAATCAACCCATGGACAATATACCATCTATGAACTCGAGTGACCCTATGAAACTCACACCACCTATGAGCATTACTTCAAAGCTGCCCCATCTCCAGGATTGATCCAAACTTCTCTCCGTTCTATCAGATCCAGATACACGGTCCTATATCCTTAAAAAGAAGCCCAGATGAACGAAGAAAACTATTCGCAATGAACAAACGAGTTGAGATATGCAAGTCTGGGCATATCGTTTATTACCCTGCTTTACCGTACAATCAGTCACCAGGAAGAAAGCCTCTAGCCACAATGGACATGTGTTCTCAACATCGCCCTTCATTCCGTCCACAGTGCACCCTACGCCGTTGATCCTTGCATACCACATCTATTCTACACATATTCCTACATACACAATAGAGTCTGTACTCGTCAGTAACAAAGTATGAACAAACGTCCGACAGTGGGCGGGAGACCACTGAAGAACAGGCTCTACTATACCACACTTTTATACTCAGATGATGAAGTCCCCATCATCCTACTGTGTTGATTCAGCATCGTTGAACCGACATGACGGACACAATGTCAAGAACAGTTCTTGCAAGTCTGTTATGCACGTCGCAACGTACGTACTAACCCTCAGAGAACCCATACTTGCTTGTACTGCAATAAAAACTGACTGATTTCCGCAGGCATGACATGCTGAAGACTGAACGGCTGCATTAAATGCATCAAGCGGAACATCTACGGCATATATGGCACTTGAGCTCGAGGTCAATTACGAAGTAGGATCCACTTGTCTAGCTCTTAAAATCGACCTTTTTTTTTTTTTTTTGTTTTTTCTCATGCGCATATCTAGAACAGAAACGAGAGTCCATGTCATTTACCCTCAGGCACATGTCTTGCTTGTTTGGCCCTGCCTAGGTAGACATGTAGTAGCTGTTACAATCTAGCTGCCCGAGACACAGCTTAATGTATGTCCATGACCTAGTAGACAGTATATTGGGTTTAGTATAGAGTTCTATGATGAAGCGATCTTTGACGTAAACAAGGCATGCCGCGTGTGGCTATTTGATAGTGATCATCATTCAATCAGTTCAGCTCAAAGCCATGCATGGTATGCAATGCATATATAATATAGGTAGATAATCAAACGATATTCTAGTAGCCCGATAAGACGTATATGTGTTAAGTATGGTCTGTGAAACGAACGACCCGAAACCCCTCCCCGCTAAAGTAGCAATAGCAACTTGGACCATCAATCAGCGAATGTGTAAGTCAATACTACCCGCATTGGGGTAGTCGCGCCGCTTCGAATGAAGGTATATGAAAAAAAGGGAAGGCAACGCAATGAGCGGCTAATATAATGAGCAACACCAACATGGCTTAAGCATACCCAAAATGAGGTAGGCTAAGGGGGGGGAAGAAGACAATTCTATGGAATTAAACAACGACTCCTCGTCGTCTCCAATACCTCCATGCAATCAACCAAGCCCCAATGGCGATCCAAACGCTTACCGTACATCCCACGGCCCAGAATCCAAAGCACCTCCAGCCATGACATTGGCCGTCATTCGTGCCATTTCCGTCGTCCATAGCATCCTGGTACCCTTGCGAATAGACCAAACCCCAGACGGCGGCTCCGGCGGCTGGAACCATGGCAACGATACCCCAGTTGGTGGCAAAGTTCTCGACTCCCCAGACGACAGAGATGATAATCGGGACGAGAGAAAAGGCACTGCCGTAGCCGAGACCAATCAGGGCTGTGGTAAGGTGGGTGAATCCGGGGTGGTAGAGAAGAATCGGGGAGGAGAGAAGGAGATAGCCGATGGAGAGGAGGAAGGCGGAGGGGAGGAGAAATGCAAGGCGGGTGAAGGTGGTGCGATTGGTATCCGATGTGATGGAGGCAGGGCGGCTACTCGGACCGGGGAAGAGATGGGTTGCTGGAGGGGCGAAGAGGTCGGAGAGCGAGCCGGTGAGAAGTCGGGCAATGGTCGAGGTCAGCGCGATGGTGCTAACATGGGTTGATGGTAAGCCTGCAGGTGACGAGGCATTTGTAATATTTGATACAGGAGTCAAGGATTGGACAATAGTGCCCAGCTAGAGAGCGTGTCAGTCAGAGTGAGATGCTTTGATGGCATAGTCAGTATATGGACGCAACATACGTTATTGATATATGCCTCTCCTGGCCCAGTGACCAGGAAGAAGCCAATGGCAAGCCACCACATTGACTTGTCCTGGAGGAAGATCCTCGTCTCGTAGTTCAGCAGCCAGTTCTTCTTCCGGCGTTCTTCTTCTTCCCTTTCCTTCTCAAGTCTTGCTGCTTCTCGCTCCTCTTCTGACAGTGTCAGAGTTTGGTCTCCATCGGATCCGGTGCCGTCCTCGGCCTGCGAAAACGTTCCATAAGCGGTTCTGTCGTCGTTCCTGGGCCGGAAGAACTCGCTCTCCTCAAGGAGACCACTGCGCTCCAACTCCTCTACCGCCTCGTCAATGTACTTGTCTTCGTTCTCATCCACGATCCTGAGGGCAAAGGTGCCAAGTACACCAACGCAGAACAACAGGATGGCGAGAAACAAGAAGTACTTATATACATTGACATCCCCACGCGTACCATCTTCAAGACGGTCACATAGGAAGTACGTTCCTACTTGGCTCTGCCACATGCCACTAAGGCCAAAACCCGCGATAGGAACAGCAAGCATGATTCCCTTATGCTTACCCCTGCCAAAATTTTTGGCACATGTTGCGACCGCAGCCAAGTACATGCAACTGGTAGCAACGCCAATGGCGATGAATGCCACAATCATCACCCAAAATGGCCAGCCGTCGCCACCCGCATCAGGAGGTGGTCCACTCTTGAAGGCCAGTGCAGCCAGAAGGTACCCAGCCCCAAACACGAAACCAGAGAATAAGGCCAGCGGAGATGGGCTGTACCGATCACACAGATATCCAAAAAGCGGGACAGGTAAGTACATCGAAACCTCTGCGGCGATTGCGACAGCATTGACCCGGAGTTGAGTGTAGTGGAGACGAGTGAGCAACAGGGGTCCGTAGAGCGAGAACGCGGTAATGCTACCAGCTCCAAGACTAATGATCACAATGCCAATTAGCCAGCCATCCAACGAGGGGGGTGATTAGCGCATCCTATTTACGCACAAGAGATCTTACCAGCTGATAACTCCCCACGCAAAACTGCTAACCCGCACCACTTCCTTGGCCATCTTCTTTCTATCCCTTTCTAGGATCTCGTCGACAACATCATTCAGGAGACCATCGTCATTGTTGGTGGCCGATAAACACGACTGTGGCCGTGACCGTAGGTGTCCTCGTTGTTGCTCATCCGCCTCAGCATCTGCATCATCGAGTAACGGGCGATGAGCATCAAAATCCCTCTTGTCGATAGCTGAATCGGGCTTATCACGGGATGGCGTCATAGTGTCTCCCCCTTCGGCCGTGATAGCGCGATCTGGATGAGGACGAGTGTTCACAAATTATGGTTCTTTGAAGGGCCTCAAGCGGGCAATAACTGCCTGGGTAGAGTGTTTCGGGTCCGACCAGGGGCAAGATAACGGCGTGCCTGGCAAGATGGGCCTGCCTTTTCACTTCTCCGCAAAATAGTCCTCCGCAAACGGAAATCAGAAGGCAGCAAATCAAGAAGATCAATCAACACGAGATAAGGGAGGGAAAGAAGAACCATAGGCCTTCAGCACATCGAATAAGTCCTCCCAGACATCGAGACTGGAACCAGCAAACCCCTGAGATGCGTGAGGAGAAGGGAATGCGGAGATGGGCTGCTGACCGACTGACTGACTGACTGACGAGGCGATGAGCCAAGCTGCGATTAGATAATAAAGCCGTGAGGCGATAACCACACCGCTTATCGCCGCCCTCACGTGGTTTGATGCCTGAAGGCCTTGGGCAGCGCACATACAGTGTAGCACCGTCATGCTGGCTTGTTATTCTGAAGTCTACGGATGCAGTCATATCAAACATTACAGATATTCGATTCTCCCGCCCCGGTCTAAGCTCAGCGCCTATAGGTATGTACACACAAACACAAATACCGAATAACACTCTGTGGAAAGAAGCTGGGAAAAAGCACGGATTAAAAAGTCCCCGGGAATCGGACCAGTCCCCAGGAGGTATAATCAGTAACACATGTCCGAGAAGGAATAAGAAGCTGAAAGGAAGAAAGACCGGTGCACCCTTAGGGAGGGCAGACCAAACAGAAAAGTGAAAAAAAGTAAATCAGTTTCATACACGCCATGAGAATGTAGTGGCCCCCATGCAGAGACCTTCTATTATGCACCCGGCATGGATAGTTAAGGTGTCTGTGGTGAGCATCATGCCATGATCGTTCGTCAATATCGTAATGTATGTTGCCGAGAAAACAAGTTGTAATGGCCCCCATCTACCCCCATCATCATAATCGATTAACATCATCCAGCGTGGGTATAGCGCTGGCCCCGATAGATGGACAGGGCCAAAGCCTGCTGTGTTTCTTTGGTATGCGAGTTTCGACGCCACATGCTGTGAATGCAAGAAGAACTTGCCATGTAGACATTAGGGACAGAGCAGCCCCGATAACCCCGGCTCAAAAGCTCGAGAATCTAGAAGAGGCCGTAGATGGCAGGAATGAGAACAGAATATAGAGGCCCTCCTAGTCCCAGCCGTCAGAGATCGGAGGCACCCGGATCTAGAAGCTGACCTCGCCAGGGTCAGTCTCCAGAACATTCTCATCCCAATAGCGCTGAGACGAGTCATCGCGACTGGCGTGCTGGGAGCCAAGCGCAATCGCTTCCCCTTCCCCTCTTTCAACGTAATCGTCTTCGGTAATCTGCTTCAAGATGCGCTGGAAGTACATCCTAAGGGTTCGTAGGCCACGAAGATAGCCACGATCGATATCATCTGGATGCTGTGGAGGGCAGGGAGCATTAGGCGATATTTCATCCTCGCCCGTAACACAATTAGCGAAATCAACTATCTTCAACTGCACGTCCGAGTACCCATCATCTGAAACCTGGCGTTGGAGAGTGTCTCGCATATTGGCCGAGCCAGAGGGGCCATTATTTTGAGGTGCTTTGTCTAGGTTCAGGGGATCGCCATCATAAAGAATCAGAAGACTGCTGGCATACAAGCGATAGCGCTTGAGCCTCCGGATCATGTTCTCCAGCTTCGCCAGCTTTTCGAGAATGGCGGGTATCTTTTTCGCCACACTTCTGTAACTTGCACCATCGTAGAGAAAGCGGGTAAGAGCATCCTGGAACTCACGACCGGATTTCAAGTCTCGTCCAAAGTACTTGTCTTCAAAAGAGTACTCTCGCTTTTTGACATTCCACGATTGCATGCCGCATAGACGGACGCCTAATTGCTGGGACGTGGTTGATTGGCACTTGCGTCTCTGTGACTTCCGTTTCTTTTCATTGGCCTCGATTCCATACTGGCGAGTCCCCATTTTGAGATCCAACACACAAGGTTTGTTCATGCCCGCAGTGAGATCCTCCAGCAGAAGGAAGAATTGCACTCGATCGTCTTTCCTGGTCTGGGCCTCCTTGGGATTAGAAGGAAGTTGCGCATCAGCGACATCCTTGGCGTTTGGTGGGACTGGAGACCTGGAGGGGACATTGCTACTCATGCGGCCATCAAGGTGCACAGGGTCTGCACCAAGGACTTTTGGGGCTACTGGGATTGAAGCATTCGTGACAGGATGGGATGGTGGCTGAACCGGATTATCGCCCTCCATGGAGAAAATCCCGTCTTCCTTATCACCCCCGTAACCATCATCATCAAAGAACAGCAGATCGCCTCCCGGCTGGCCAGAAGTCATGCTTCCCCGTCTTTGCAACCCGCTCCCAGAGCGGCGCCGTCTCACCTGCCGGGTCCTGGACAACGAGCTGGAACGTTGGGGAGATTCTTCGGTCCGCACTTTCTCGAGGCGATTGTGGCCCGCATCCAGTGCCGTAGATGCTGAAGATGACAGACCCGGTCCGTCACCTGCCTGCCTGTTGATATCGATTGCCCCGGACTGTGTGGAATCGGATTCTTCTGGTACAACTCTGCGACTGCTGGCCGTATGGTCTTCAGATAGGTTAGTCCTCCGCCGGATTTCAACGCCATCTGATGATGTCCTCGGTAAATTGAGATGGCCTCGGGCATGGCGACGGTGATGGTGCACAGCAGGTGGACTGAAAACCTCACGCAGAACTTGTTCTTGCAGCTTCCTATTCACAGTGGTGGCACCCCATTGTTTTTTCTTCAGGGTCTGTGACCCATCCAAAAGGCAGCTCTGTGCCTCGTCGTCTCGCAACTGCCCGAAATCCCCAGGAAAGCGCTTAGTAGCCGAAATCGAACCGTCAGCAGTCCTTGGGCGCTGGCCGCGGGAGAAAAGATCTGCTGGGATTATATGGCGATTGTTCTCGAGTATGACTTTGGGAATTATGCCGGTCACCTGCTTTTGGCTGAAAATGCGTTGCGGTTCGGTATCATTCTTGGTAGGGCTGCGGGCATCCGCGGCGGCCGGTCCGTCATTTTCTGCACTGTTGGTAGAATGCATCGCATTGACACTGTCAGGGCGTTCTGCGTGGCTCGCAGGGGTCTTAGATCGCTTGGGAGTTTTTGAGAAGGTGACATTCAGAACGCCAATGTATCTAGAGGAGACGTTAGCCGGCACGAGATTGGCCCTGCTCTGCAGGCGAACTGCTTAACCACTATACGTACCTAGGCAGAAACATCAGCATCTCAGGATGTCTGCGCTCAATGCGCTCATAAAACTCGTTTTCCCGATTGTTCAGTTGCTTGCAAACAGCGCGACGGGAAAACCGAAAAACGGTTGTATGACCCCCAACCTGATGGCGATAAGGCTTCAACTCCACAGCCCCAAGTGGACCAGCTGGTTCCTGCTTGTGACGCGGACGGGTCAGGCGGGGGCGCTGGGTCGGAGTGGCCGTCGGCGTCACTTCAGCCTCATCCGTCACGCTGGACTCTTCATCACGAACAGACATGCCGCTTTCGTCGGCGGACGCGGGTTCGGACTCTGTTGAATATTCAGCGGGGCGCTCGGGTATGGAACGAAGAGACTCTTCATTAAGTTTGTCTATGGGAGCATCCTGCCTGCCTTGCAGGTCGCCGTGTAGGATTCTACTATCATTCTTAGATCGAAGGGATATATCGACATGATTAGCTTCTTGCTCCTCAGGAACAACTTGTCTCTTTGGCACCAAAACGTGACTACTCTGCGCTGTCGGGATATCAACGGGCTCCACGCTATCTTGGCCATCCGTAAAAGGTTGCACTTGATCGACTTCCTCCGAGAGAGTGACGCGCTCGTGTGGGAAATAGACAGCAGACGAGATCTGCTCATCTTCCTCTTCCTCGAACTGCCCCGAACCACGGCGTTGCTCTCGGCCCGCATCAGATGGAGAAAGACGTGACTCGACATGGCCATGAAGTTCGGGTGCCTTGGAGAAGTAATCTCGGTTTCGTTCCGCATATTGGGTCGGAATACTCCGTGAAAACGAGGTGCCATGACCTCCCCCAGGAGTCAGATGGAAGTTGCGGATCTCCTCGAGCAGACTGCGGGGCAAGGCCTTAGGCTGGGATTTAACCACATTATCCGTAGACATCTGTGGTCCCGTTTCGCCTTCAGTGCCTGGTGTGAACAGGGGAGCGTCAGCAATAGAAAGATGCGAAAGGCTCTTGGAACCTGTCAGACCCGTATCTTCAGACACGGAGGGAATATGCAACTGCGAGTCACGACGTTCGCCGGAGTAGCGAGGCTCTGAATGAGCCGTCAATTGCTGCTTGTCGTGTGGTTCCGGCAGCTCGTCAAGTCGACTAGCGCGCTCTTCCTTGCGTTTGCGATCCGGGGACGTGGTATTTTCTTTGAACAGGCCCAAATAGTGGCTTGACTTGCGGCTGCGCACATGAGAGGTCGGCTCCGCATTGGCCAGATTTGCCTCGATGGACTGCTCGACTCTGCCACGGCGGCCCCGGCTCGAGCTTCGCTCGGGCTTCATCACACGTGCACCCTCCTGACTTTGTTGCCCGGACCATGGGTGGGAGATGACTTCGACGTTGGTGGCCGGAGATTGTTTGGTAGGCGAGCGTGTTACGGGATGGTACGTCGCCAAGGAAGCATCATTCAGAGAAGCGGAAAGCAGACTCCGGTGAGGCGATGGATCCTCCGCGATGGCAGGTTTCGTCGCCGCATCGTCCGGCGCAAATTTGCGAAGATGTTGCAGGCTCTCCCACACTGATGTATGCGAACCCCGTCTTGGCACCTCGGAACGCTTCCTCAAGGTCGCATCAGAGTCCACCGGCAGGAGGGGGGTAGAATGCGGCACTGCCGATGGAAGCAACGAGGGAGAGCCTAATGGATGCTTCCTGCGAACGTCAACTTCCATGTGGGAAGGGCCGACGTGAGTAGGACGGGGAGGGAGGACCTTGTGAGGGGAAATCGGAGTAGGAGTGGAAGAAACATCTTCGAGGGGAGGGATCAGGCTAGCGGGCGGCTCATTATGCACATCTTGCACGGGCGCAATTTGCGGTGTGACGGCCGGTTCGTTATCAGAAGGAAGGTAGTGAGTAGCGAAAATGCTGTCTCTCTCGGACAGCTGAGGGCTATGCGATCGGTCAGGGCGGGAGAGCCGTTCCACGGGGACGGTCGTAGGCCTTTTTAGAGTAAAGGTCGAGACAGGCGTGGCCCATTGACGAGCCGTGGGGGATTCAGCGCGGGATGGGGAGGGAACTTGTTGAACGACGTCGTCGTGGATGAGCTGGCTCCGAGCGTC